GAAGGGGAGAGGGGGGGAAGGGGGGAGGGGATATGGGGTTTATGAGGGAGGAGAAGGAGGAAGAGGGAGGTACCTAAACCACAAGTATGATTCAAATTACTCTGTCCGGGGTAGAGTTGTGCTTTCACACCTACACCCAAACCCATCAGAACCACAGAAACAGAACGCATCTTGATCCAGCTCTCGATCTCGATCCCAATTCAACTCTCAACTCGAAGTATGGCAATCAAATAACCAAACCCTTCACAAACCACACAATCACAATAACACTTCCAAGAAAAGCCCGGCAACTATTACCTGGTGAACAAAAGCAAAAGCAAAAGCAAGCGCAAGAGGGAAAAAAAAGAAGGGCTCCGTAGGAGTAATACAAACAATATATACCCATCACCATCCATCCCATCCACCCCCCCAAAAAAACCAAAATTCACCTTCCCTTCCCCTTCCCCACCCAAACACCCCCGCTTCCACCGTACTCACCCGGGTACACCATCCCCTTAATTGGTCAATCGCACCCCATATCCATGTCCGGAAATCAACCCACATCCTGCATGCTGCATATCCCGAATTTTCATGGTTGGATATCAGGGTAGAAGAGAAGTTGATAAGGGGAGGGGGTCCTCAATCTCGATAAGGCAGGTGTGACCCAGAAAAGCTGGTTTAGCGAGCACGTGGGGCAAAGGAGGGGTTCCCGGTGGTTCGGAGGGTCCTGATTGTGAATCGGTGAGAGGAAGATTGGGAAATACGATGGACGGATCATGGGGATTGTGGGTGGTTGGATCCCGAAGGAGTGCAGAACTGGTCGAGATGTTTAACTTTTTGTTTTATTGGTGGTAACTATTATTTAGCTACATGGTGGTATCAAGCCCTGATGATGCTTTTGTAGATCCCCAATGTCGGGCCTGATGTGATCAGCCCCAGATTCCGCTCAATTGCTGCTTTAATTCATGAGAGAGGTGACGTTTTTCTTCCAAACACTTTCTTTTCAATGCCCTGATGGCATTAGAGCTTGTAGTGATAATCATCCTCTGAATAACCCTTTTGGGCCCCAAAAATAGGCACTCCCACAAGGCATTCCATACCTTGAAGTTTATAAATAATCTAACATGAGTACCTCAAAACTCAACCTCGACCGAATCTTCTGTCAAATAACTTCAAAACACCCATAACACTAGCAGCTTCAACCTCGATCGGAGCCCGACCAGCATGATGAGGCGGAACAGCATGAAGTCTACCAAGCCAAGTACCCAACTCATCACTTGCTTGATCGAAACTCTTGTGACTAGCCAGAGTCTTATAGGTATCGGCGCAGGATAAACTTGGAGGGGGTTGAGATGGTTCAGCATTAGGAAGAGATTTGCAACAACCACCACCGCCAGCATTGCCACCACAGCAACCCTCAGGGACTGAAGAATCCGTTGTTTCAGAGGCACGCATCGCGGCAAGTGAGCGACAGAAAAGTCCCGACTTTGGATCTGACTGACATTGGGCACAAGTTCCTGGACCATTGGCACAGGGATTGGTTGATTCTTGTGTAGGAACTGACATGTGCATCAGATTTGGCTGTAAGGAAGGAAGTTTGATGTTATTGCCATCGTCATTATCTGAAGGCGGAGGGGTGACTTCATTGAGAAGAGGTGCAAGTCGATTCTCATGACGATCATTGAAATTTGCAGCAACGGCAGCAGCTTCAGCACAAACGCAATAAGTGCCATCCTCACAGAACCCACATGACTCGATGGGCCGTCTATCTTGTTGCGGTGGCGCCTGAGTTTGTTGGACAGCAGGTCTGGCAAATTGAGCGGTAAAGTCAATTTCAAGTGGTGTTGATGGTGTTGAATGACGGGCTCGCTTTTCTGAGGAATCCTCATGGGGAGAGTGTGGTCTCTTTAACTCAATGGAAGGCTTGGTATTGTTAATAGCTCTGACCGTTTCCTCAAGACATTCGCAATGTGTATCGACGCTGCAATTGCCACAACCGGAGGTAGCAACAGCCAATGCACTCTCTGCACAAGCACAACCTGTTTCTGATGTGCATCCTCCACAGACACCAGCATAGTCTTCCAGATCTGGTGTAGGTGGTGGAATATCTTGAATATATTGTGGTTGCGGGGTGGGTACATGCTGCTCTGGTTGACGAGGACGTCGTGGTGGGAGAGGAACGGCATCAGTACCAGTTGTTTGCGAGCCATTCCTCAGATAGGATAATTCGAACTGAGCGGCTTCCTTTTCTCTTCTCTCATAGTCGGCGATACGATCGAGGGTATCACATCGCAAGCGCCAAGATTGAAGTTCACCATTAAATCTTTCCACATCGGCTTCCAGTCGTACAATCTTGGCTCTTAAGTCTGCCTCTCTTCTTTGTTGCTCCTCCTTAGTTTCCTCGAGCTGTTCTTCCAATTCACCCACACGAGCTGCTCGTCGTTCCCTAAATGCGCGTTGGGCAGCTCGGTTTTGAGCCTTGCGTTTGGTAGGAGGGGTGTCTGTGGCGGGCTTCCGACCGGGTCTTGGGCGGGGTGGAATGACCCATTCTTTCTTGGTAATCATGGAGGGAGTGGAAGCACCGGGTGCCGGAGCGATGGATGTCATGTTATTTGAAGTCTTGATGGCTAAAGTTGGTGGTGCTGGAGCCAAAAGAATTGCCGGAGGCGACCCAGCAGAGGAGGGTGTTGATACGGTGGGCGAGGCCATCACGAATGTGACGGGTCGGGGGTTGTCGGTAGCCGTCGAATGAGGTCAATGATGAGCCCACGGTCGCACAAAGGCCAGAACCAACCGCGGATGGGGAGAACTGAAGAAATGAAGGTATCTGCAAATTGCGTTTCCTTCGGGCAATGGTCGCAGCAAGCACTGTCTCTACTTAGTCCTTCCGATTAGTTAATGGTGTTGAAGTTGCCAGTGCAGCGGCGAATGGGAGACTCGGTGGGTTTGCGGGTGCGGGTGCAGGTGCAGGTGGAAAGAGCGAAAGATCCTGATCTTAATCTTATCAGATCCTCGGTGTTAGACTCTCACCCTTACTATTTTTGTACTAGCGCCGACAATGGACCAGTTAAATTTTCAGCCAACTTTGCGACTTCGGAGGGATCCAGCCAATGGGAGCGTGTCATGGTTGAACAGGTGGGAGTCTGGCATCTTGGCGTGAATTCAAAAACGTCCGTTGGCTGCACTGAGTCTTTTTCACACTTTACGGTACGAGGATGCATCGCATTTACCAGTATCAAAACTTTTTTCCGTCCTATGATTATTGTCTTGAATCAGCTGGCTAAATGAGGTCGGTGTACTCGAGTAGACTCGAGTTATTAAGTATTCAAAGACTCACGCCTACCTAGCAATGTCATAGGGGCATATCAATGGATTGTTACCCAAAGCAATTCGTGATTGATACCTACATTTCCCCACACCTAGGTATGTCTACTGCAGTAACCTCTCCAGGGACGAACAACGGGACTTTTTCCACTCGAAAGACAACCTATACTTTTCAAAGCAAATTCCATACTCTGCGGAAACCAGAAAAGTGGACTCTACAAACATTACCCATAGTCGTAAGCGTAGGATCAATTCTGATACCTACTTAGACATTTCAGCTGGGTTGTTGTCATATATCATAGTTCAGACTTGCAAAATGGCGCTAGATTCCTGGGTAGGAAAACCCGGGCTTAGTTTCTATATGAGTTGCGAGTAGTTGCCTCTCTAGTTTTGAAAGAGAGCCAAAATCATTATCAGACTCTAGAAACGCTCTGGTAGGAGTATAAAGCGAATACACGAAAAACTTACCCCAATAGTGTCTACCAATCAGAACAATGGTTGGTCTTTCGGACTTTAGCTAGCGGAGTAACCTCGGGAAACCCCTTCGCCGATTGACTCAAATTCCCACCCCGCCAAAACAACCCCTCCCTCGACTCAGGGCCAAATCAAAATATCAATCACCAACACAATGAAGGCCGAAGATTTGACCAAGCTCTCCACCAGCCTTGCGGCCCCTGATTTCAAGACCATTGAGCCTCACCTCTTGGCCTTGGACAAACACCTCATTCTGCGAACATTCGTCGAGGGTTACTCACTTAGCGCCATCGATACTCAAACATGGGTCACCATTCGAATCAACAAGGTCGCCAACGCTTTTCTGAAGAGAGGAGCGCTCATTAATGTGGCCAGATGGTTCAACTACATCGAACAGACAAATCCCGAAATCCAGGAGGAGATTAAACTCAAGGATGACGCTGAGAAGGCTAAAAAGGCTGCGTTGAGCAAAGCTGGCGCAAGCTACAATATGGCTCTTCAAGATACCGAGAAGGGTGTTGTGACTAGATTCCCACCTGAACCATCGTAGGTTCAATGTCATTGTAATATTTGCCCCTGCTAACTTGAATCAGTGGATACTTGCACATCGGACACGCAAAGGCAGCTCTCCTAAACGATTACTTTGCACACGAGCTTTACAAAGGCACCCTACTTTTACGATTCGACGATACAAACCCCTCGAAAGAAAAGCAGGAGTATCAGGATGCCATCGTCGAGGATCTTGCACTTATGGGGATCAAACCGGACAAGACCAGCTACACTAGTGATTACTTGCAAACATTATACGAGTACTGCATCAGAATGATCAAGGAGGGCCACGCTTACGCCGATGATACCCCACAAGAGAAGATGCGCGACGAGAGAATGAATGGTATTGCCAGCGTAAACCGAGACAACAGCATTGAGCAAAATCTTGCCATCTTCGAGGAGATGAGGGCTGGGACCAAGAAGGGACTCGCCAACTGTATTCGGGCCAAACTGTCTGTTGACAATCCTAACAAAGCCATGCGCGATCCAGTCATTTACCGTTGCAATGTTGAAACACCACATCACAGAACTGGTACCACCTGGAAAATGTATCCTACTTACGACTTTGCCTGCCCAATCGTGGACTCCCTCGAGGGTGTTACCCATGCTTTGAGGACCACGGAGTACACAGATCGAAACCCACAATACCAATGGTTCCTCGACACCTTGAAGCTTCGACAAGTTCACATGTGGGATTTTGCAAGAATGAATTTTATCCGAACAGAGCTTTCAAAGCGAAAATTGACCAAATTGGTGGAGGCGGGTACTGTTTGGGGTTGGGACGATCCAAGAATGCCTACTATTCGAGGTGTACGAAGACGAGGAATGACCATCCACGCACTACGAGATTTCATTTTGAAGCAAGGGCCAAGCCGAAATATTGTAGTCATGGACTGGACCAACTTCTGGGCTTCAAACAAAAAGGAAATCGATCCAATCGCCCCAAGACATACTTCTGTCGATGTTAAGAACGCTGTCAAGGCCACTGTCACCAATGGACCGGAGAAAGCCTACATGGAAGACAAACCTAAGCATGCCAAGAACCCTGCCGTAGGAACCAAAAAGGTCTCCTACAGCAAAAGCCTCATTCTAGACCAAGAGGATGTCAAGCTTTTCAAGCAAGACGAGGAAATCACACTGATGAATTGGGGTAATGCAATCGTTCGCAAGATTGTCGGCTCGGATCCAATCACAGAAATTGAGCTCGAGTTACATCTGGAGGGAGATGTCAAGAAGACCGAGAAGAAAGTCACTTGGCTATCAACTGAGGGAGCGGATCTCATCAAGACTAATGTTTGGGAATTTGATTGGCTCATGACCAAAGACAAGCTCGATGAGGGTGACAACTGGGAGGACTTTGTGAACAAGGACTCTTGTTCTAAACTTGAGGCGCTGTGCGATGCTAATGTAAGCGATTTGAAGGTGGATGATCTTATTCAACTTGAGCGAAAGGGATATTTCAGAGTTGATAAGATTGCGTCGGATAAGGATGGATTGGTGTTATTCGGTATTCCTACGGGAAAGACGAAGTGAGAAAGGACATGAAAAATATGTTGTTTTGTAGCTTGCGCTTGGATCTACACATCATCTTTGTAGATTCTTGCCTGAAATGATGACGAAGAGAATAACTTGGTCCCAAGTTCCCGTTTGACAGCTGCTCATCCCATTCTAACCCCATCTATCCCATACCATGCTTCTGCCCCAAACTTTTAATAATCCATTTGATTTCAATTATATCCACAGCGTTAAACTTAACCAGCGCACCAGCACCTCTTCATTTCCCCTTCCATTTTTCTCCACTCATCTCTACCCTCTACCCCCTTTCCCTATCCCTATCCCTACAACAACCCCTTCCTCGCCAACTCCACTTTCCTCGCCGCCTCCCCCTCCTTAAATCCCCCCTTGGAGATACAAATCGCCTTCCCATCCGCCAGCTCGAATTTCTCCTCGTACGTCGGGTGCGCGCATGGACAGTGATGCGGCACTGCGACGCAAGCGAGTGTGTCCGGACACAGGTAGTTGGAGCAGTGGGCTGTGTCGTAGTTCTTTTGGTACCAGGAGGAGTCCGAGGGGACGTTTTGAGGCTCGGGGCGTTGTTGTTGTTGTTGCTGGTTTGGGGGAGGGGTGTTAGTTGGTTGGGTTGGTGGTGGTAGTTTTTGGGGGGTGAGGGAGAGGGGGGGATGGGGGGAAGGGACGGGAGGGGGAAGTTACTTGGCCGTTAAACATTTGTTCGAAGAATTGGAATTGGGCTTGTACGCCTGTGAGGAAGAGGAGGAGGGCGGAGAGGATGGGTAGGAGGGTGCGTGTCATGGTTTCTTTTGGTTGGGGATTAAATCCCAAGAATTAGAAATTGAGAAAGACAGATGTAGATCAAGATTGAACGGTAAGAACTCTCATGTGTTCGATCAACTCGCATTCATAGAGCGCAAAGAATCTCATCTGAAGTTGACAGCTGGACCCTTTACAACCATAGCCTCGCTGACTAATGTTAGCCCTGTCTCCTTCTCTCCCCGCTCATTGGTGGGACGCCAAGTGGGTCTGAACTTTTATTCAAAGCTGGGGAACATCAACGACGATACTCGTATCGCAGCAACACACATATCCCAATGCTGCTCCCACGATTACAACCTCCCTTGCGGGCCGCCATATCCGCAGTAGGAAGGAACACCACACCAGCATGTCTCCATGAAGCATTCGGAGCTCTCTCTATAAGGGGTGTCGTCCCAGCGACTTCGCCCGCTAGCCTGACGTTCGTGAGATACGCTTCGCATGCGCAGCAAGGAGCTGTGAATAAATCGAAAGATGGAGCGGGGAAGAGGTTGGGTGCTAAGAGATCTGGGGGTTGGTTTTCTCCCCTCTTGCTATTTAAGTCTCCAATTGGGCCATACAGAGTACTAATAATAAACAGAACAATATGTCATCCCAGGCAACATCATCTTCCGCCAACGAGGCACGCACTGGTTCCCCGGCGAAAATTGCGCCATGGGCCGCGACCACACCATCTACGCCACGGAATCGGGATACGTAAAGTACTACAAAGACCCAGAGAAGCACCCGAAGCGCGGGTACATCGGCGTCGTCTTCGAGCGTGAACAAGTCCTCCCGCTACCGCGCAACTCGATGCGGAGACGGAAACTCAACATGGTGGCGCAGAAGATGAAGGTCGAGCCTGTTGCGGAACCAACTAAGATTCGTGCGGATAAGGGGGGTATGGGGCTGGTTGTTAGGAAGCAGGAGGTGAAGAAGGAGGACAAGGGGAAGATGGAGATTAAGAGTGGGTATATGTATCGTGAGTCGAATTGGGAGATTGGACGTGCGGCGGAGAAGGCGGGGGTGAGGGTTACGGCTTTTAAACCGAGGGATCGGTGGGCGGCGTGGAGGAAGGCGTGGAAGAGGAAGGTGGCGAATAGGGAGAAGAGGGTTGTGGGGGGGAAGAAGAAGAAGAAGAAGAAGATTTAGGGGGGTTGTATAGTTTTTGGTTTTGGGAGTGTGGAAGTTTGTGTGGACATTGTATTAAAAGAATTGAATGGTCTGTTTGCAGTCGTGTGGACTTGATGGAAAAGGATATGAAATTCGTTTGTCGTTGTAACCCAATTATCCAAAGGTCTTGACACACAATTACTCGCGCTACTATGTCTTCTAAAACTACCCATCCTCCGAAAACCACCTAACCATCTGACCAAAGACAATCAACTCTACAACCATAGCATCACTAGATTAACCCCCTTGAGAGTTCGTGATTTAATGGATCCGGATGTATCGCTGATATATCATGGAAGGGAAATGGTTGGTTGGTACGAGGGAGTGGTCAGTAAGGGGAGGGGGTGATTGGTATGGGTAACAATATAGATTATGATATCACACTACCTTCCTAGGGAGACCAAAAGGGCTTCATAGCATTTATACCACCGGTCACATTTATATGTATATGTTATAAGTTGTATTATATATTGTATCGTACTTACGCTAGCGATTTGATAATAAATCATATCAGGAGCGGGAAGTTAAGCGATATGTACTTGCCCCTCCTATTCGATTCTAGACTACCGTACACTTCCAAAACACCATCTTCACTCTTCCCTAAAGCATCAATATCTATTAAAAGATTCTATCATTACCTTTTTATTTGTATTTTTGTTTCCTTCCCTACTGGTTATTTCTGATGATATGATACAATAACGATTTCTTCTGGGTTTTATGAAAAGGAGGAGGGGGAAGGGACATATGCGTACTTACCTATCTTAGATATAGTAGGAAACAAGGTTCGGCATTTATAATTATATTCTATTCTAAGGCCCTCCTATAGAATATTCTATTCTAAATAGTATAAGTTTTAGAATACTCTATTCTAAAGGGTAAAATATTTAAAATTCTAGTTAGAATTACTTATATAACATATAAAAACGTAGTTCTAGTCTAAGCGACCAATGGTACTATTATCTATACTATTAATACTATAATAATAATATTATAATATTACCCCTATATATCTTACTAGGACGTATAAAAGAGCCTTAAATACTTATATTTACGCCTCTTATACTAGTAGTATATATACTTCTAGACTACTAGTATATATATGTCACGAATCACGTGTTCACGTGATACTTGTCATAATAAGAGGCGCAACCCTCGACAGGCACATTCAGATTTCTTATAGCAAATGGGGATCGCTTAGGGTAGCTAGGCGATCCAAGGATTTCTTCCTTACAGAAGATCATGTGACTAGGGAGTATGAGGAAGTATAAGGGAGGCTTATACTACTCTATACTACCGGAGTATAAGGAAGTATAAGGAAGGCTTATACTACTCTATACTCGGACCATACGCGGGATATGAAGGTTCTATATAAGACTGGCACGTCTGCCATTAGATAGGAGCTTCGTGCTCAACTTAGTTTGCTTATACTACTCTATACTACCGGAGTATAAGGAAGTATAAGGAAGGCTTATACTACTCTATACTCGGACCATACGCGGGATATGAAGGTTCTATATAAGACTGGCACGTCTGCCATTAGATAGGAGCTTCGTGCTCAACTTAGTTATCAATCTTATCATATTAGTTTGACATCTTTGATCCAAGTAACGAGTTCACTTCCAAGTGAACAACCCGATAGTCTTCTTCTTATCATAGCATACCAACCAGCGAACACCCAGCCAAGTTTAGTTAGCCAGTTTGAGTATTCGTTACAATATACTAGGTACTCTAAATCTACTTATATTTATAGTTTATTAAATTACTTTATATAAAAGAGCTTTAAATATATATAGTTACGCCTCTTATAGTATACGTACTTACTAGTATAAGTAGTATAACTACTATAAGACTACTTATATTTACCTAAGTTATATAACTTATAGGAGATAATAATAGTTAATTAGGCGTAACTTAGGTAAAAATTATAAATTTAGTAGTTACTTTATAATAAATAGAGCTCTCTTATTAGTTAAAAAGCAATATATATATATCCTTTAGAATTCTAAATTCTAAATTCTAAAGCCTTATCCTTTAAAATATTCTATTCTAAATTAAAGAGCCTTTAGAATAGTCTACCTTAGAATAGAATCTTAGAATCCTTAGAATTGTATTCTAAATGCCGAACCTTGGTAGGAAATGGCCAATTTCGGGGGACCGGGGTGTAGGCTTTTTCGTGTTTATGATTTCTGTGACTGTTAGGAGTTTTGGGGGTTGGTTTGGTATTAAATTGGAGTGGATTTGATCTTTGCAAGTGTCTACCATGAGAATAAGCCGCATAATTGCTGCGATGAAACCCGCTATTTTCCCATGCTGACAGAGAAGTTAATTCATATATTGATCGATATGGGTTCTTTCTTTACAGTTTCTTGCTAAGTTGCAGAGGTAAACCGGGGAGATCAAGAACTCAACTGATCTGCCCCTATTGTAGAAGAATATCAGCTTTGTTGGAATATGAATGGGCTCTTGGATCCTTTTGTAGTCCTGTTCTTTCTGGTATCAGGGCTATAGCGGTGTCTTGCTAGCTTTGGGTTCTTGTTAGGTGTGGTGTCCTGATGGCTATGTGTAAGATTTATTGGAAGAGGGATCAATCTTATAGATCAGCCTGGAGACTATGTGATACAATAGATAGCTAGAAAATGTGAAATGTGGAGTGGGAGAATTGGTGTTATTCCTTGCCTTTACTCTCTATCTACTTACCTCATTACTCCAAGAGGTACAGTACAGCACACGACCTCACCCATACCCAACCAAACAACCCCACAGTGAATCCTCACTTCCGCCAAATTCTCAGCCCCACCTGCCCCCACCTCCCCCCACCTACTCCCTACTTATCCATCCCATTAGCCAACCAGCGGGAAACATTCACCATATACCTCTCCCCCCCAACCCCTCCTACAAAACTCCCAACCCCCCTCCTTCAACACCCCCAATAACCACCCCCCAACCACCATCTCATGAGCGTTGAGCAGCGGTCTGACAGTCACCAAAAGGCCAAAATCGCAGGTAATGAAACTGGGATCTCTGATCACGTGTGGTACAAGCTTTCGCGCTTGCAGCTTTCAGGACAGAGCCTGCGAGGTCTGTAGATTGGCGATGGTTGGTACTGCATATTGCGCATGAGCTATTTCTTTTTGGGGTTTTTCTGAGGGGGTCTAGGGGTTGTGGGTGGTAGTTTTTTGGAAGGGGGGAGGAAGGGAGGTTTGGTGATGGTGGGGAAGATGCGTGTGCGTTCGCTTAGGATAGGGGGGTGAGGCTTGGCGAGGTGAAACGATCATACATAGTATCACCACGCGATATTCAGAAGGGACGCGATGATCTGCGATGAGGGTTGATTTACTGCCTCATGTAATGTCATTCAGCATTGCACATTAAAATTGAGGTATTGAGCGAGATGTTATCTACATATTCCTATTCACTACGGCGCTTGCAGTATGGAAACCCTCGTGGCCATCCCATTGCATCAGGCACTATTATCTTGTAGCGCGTACGACATTATTTTCTATGCAATCCTTTGGGTTTAGTTGTAATCGGTACTAGTATATAATGCTCTGAGCCTCTGAAGAAAAGAACCTCTTGAGAAGGCGCAAAGTAAAGCCCATCGCAGCTTCCACATCTCATCGTTGTGTCACCTAGCCAGGAAAAAGAATATGTGTATCCAAGCATAAACGCTGCCCCGTACCAAGTATCACTATCATACAAAGTAGCACCACAAAGCTTCCTCAGGTTGCGATCATAAGCTGATTGGGTGAGCACATGCTTGGAAACTTCACTTGGGAGCCAGGCTTGGCGCTTGTAAGCTAATCATCTTCACTGATGCCTCACCTACGAGATGATCTCCTAGCTATAGGTGAAGCATGAGAATGAGTTTTGTTGCAGATCGCAAAAAATGCGATCGTACGCTGATTAGATACCTCTGTAAGTGAATATCTAGTAGAGTTTGTATGTTCTCTTCGACCAATTACTTCGCGATTGCAAGGTTACGATACGTCATAACTATAAAATTGTAAGTGAATCTTTGGTAGATTTTGTATATTCTCTTCAACTAATTGCCTTGCGATCGCAACGCCACGATATGCTATAACTGTAAGTGAAGCTCGCAAAGACTGTTTTGTTGCACGTCGGAAAAAATGCGATCGTATGCTTATTGGACAGTGCTATAAGTGGAGATATGAAATAGCAAGTAAATCTTAGTTGGAGTTTGTGTCTCCTCTTCGACCAATTAACTTGCGATCGCAAAGCCACGATATCTCATGTCCATAAGTGAAGCTTGCAAATGAGGTCTTGTTGCACGTCGCAAAAAATGTGATCGTGCCCTGATTGGTTATCTAAGTAAGTGAATCTATGAAATTGTAAGTAAATCTCGATTAGAGTTTCTATCTCCTCTTTAACCAATTACCTTGCGATCGCAAAGTTACGATACGTCATAACTATACAATAAGTGAAGTTTGCAGATGAGATTCTGTTGCACGTCGAGAAAAATGTGATCATAAGCTCATTGGTTGGTTCTATAAGTGAAGCTTGAATAGAGTTTTCGTTGTCTCTCTGTCCAATCACCGTTTGAGTGCAACGCCACAACTCCTCGTTGCTAGAAGGTGAAGATGCAAGTATCTCTGCATCCAATGAGCTTGCGATGGAATCTTTTGCGATGTGCAACAAAAGGTATCTCTTGCTTCACCTGGGAGGATTTGAATGCGATCGGATGCTGATTGGGTGGGGAGATGTTTATTGACTTCACTTGGGAAAGCGGTTTGCGATCGGGTTCTGAGTGGATGGCTGCATGCTTCACTTGAAGGTAGAAGCCGGGGTGTGTAGTATTTTCAGAAGACACGCAGTGGGGCCAATTTGTCGTCGCACTCTGTACTTTGGCACTCGTCATAGGAAGGTCCTGTATCGATTGAGTCTTGGCGATTTGACTCCAGTCAAGACTTCTGAGATACCACGAAATTTCCCGCGCAATCTCAAAGATTCGCAGTGCTTCTTTCGCTATCAAGCAGTTCATTGTGACGCAAGTTTCTTTGTCTGTGTGCCAAGGTCTCTTTTTTATCTCTTTTTTTCATTTAACAATGACCTTGTCAATCTTGATTTGGAAGTTTGAAAGGATCTTGTCTTTCAAGTCTATTAAGAGAAACCGCTCTTTTCTTTGAATCTCAAACAATGGCCGAATTGTATATTAGGGTGAACAATCATCTCGCACCTTCTATTATCTGAATTTTCAAAATTGTGAAGGGATTTACAAGCTTGCCCAGATGAAAATGAGGCATAGAAATCACAAACTGAGACCAGTCTATGACGAAGAGCTTGAGGTGCGAGTCTGGAATTTGAAGTGTGATGCTATGCATGCGCTTCCATGTGTCAAGTGTGGGATCTATGTTTACGAAGTTTGTAAACCCGCTTTCACTCTTTCTTATATCGACTTTGTGGCTGATTTGTGACTACTTTAGGAGTGTAGATTCTTCCCAAGAGCTCGTGATGATAATCCACGCTACCGCTTCGGCTCGATACCACATTTAGATCCCTCGGGGTTCAGCCACGATATCGTATGCTACTGTGAATCTTGTGATCTGAAGGTGGAAGAGAACCTTCCTTTCACTCTTGATAAATTTTGCGACTGCAACCAGTATACAACATGGATATGTCTAGCTTGCAGGGAATCCGAAAATGAAGAGAATAATCAGTACTATGCGAATAGAACGAAAAGAAAAGATGCAAACAGCACAGCTGGGTGGACTAAGATGGCAGTCAGGACAAAATTCATGTTATTGTACGATCATGTAGGCTTGCGAGCAGTAAGTATACAACAGAATCTCCGGCTAAATTGACAGTAACACTAATTAGCATAATAGTTTTGGTGTCCATGTGGAGAGAGGGCTCCCAAGTCTGGAAACGTGAGGTGTACATGGTGTAAAAGAAGACACGAAGGCTTTAATCAGCCTGGTATTAGAGGCTCGAATATTGGGTATCGTGAGAAGATACCCTTTTTTGATGATGTGAGTCATTGTTCCCTCATTCCTCTCCGTCGCCTCAAAGTAACATGGAAATCTTAGGATCCTTGTTATCCGAAGATGGTTCATGATCCCTTGACTGGAGAACAAGTAATGCATCCGCCGCTGGGTTATACGGGACCCGTTGCCCCTTGATACTAGAGGAATCAGATAGCTCAATTAATTCCTGGGTTGAGCCAGTAATCTTGACAGAAACATGGGGCTTATGAGACTTGAAGCATGGAAGCAACGCACAATATCTTGGTTCAAAATTCAAATTAATATTAGCGCAGGATGGGAGCGAGTTATTTCTTCAGATTGATTATATTATGGTTCGAACGAGGAAGAAAAGAAGAAAGATAAGTTTACTACTTGCCGTTCCATCTTGCTGTTTGTGCTGAAAGATCAGAAATCTTCCCCATCTTTAGCCTTTGCTTGGGCTTGTCGCTAGGTAAGCCGCCAATCTTAGAAAGTTCATCCTCGCCTGCTTTCCAAAGCCAAGACCAGTGTTTCCGAACAGGAACTAGTTTCTGAACGTTGCCAGGATTTCGGTCAACCCCAGGTCCGCTTCTGCCTTCGAGGCAACTTAAGACAGCTTCACGATGTGCCTTCACTGAAGGTAAAGGATTGAGATTACTACCCCAAAAGATTTGTTCCTGATCTTCCGGACGTAGGAACCCCTCGTCTTTGCTTACCTTGCATTCATGGCAAATGTCAGGAACAGAAACAGGTCTGTAGATGACTCTTATGAAGTCTCGTTTTAGCAAGCAATAGATTGGGTAGTCGCTTGAACCAATTTCCGCGCCTGGACAACGGTAGATGGGATTTGGGACACTAACACAACCACAGCTAGATATTGGGACTTCAAAGATACACATTTTGCTTCTTGTTCAAGGGTGATTGTGAAAGCTGTTGTAGTCTATGAACTATTTGAAAGTAGAAAATTAGTTTTCCACTAACTTTATCACACGTTAGGTTGCTGTTTAGTTGAAAACAATGCAATTATGTTCTTAGTGAATACTATGTTTCGTTATCAAAGCGCGACTATCGCGTCAAAGAAGCTTTCTTTGTTTTTCGATAAAGGAATTGTTGCAAGAACACAAAGTCCTTTCACAAGTTGGAATTGTCAGTGAAATTTAACTAGTATGCTGGCACACCGAAGAAAAATAGTCTCGGTACTGTTTAGAGATGAGATCATCCATTCAGAAGTAGATTTGGCATGATGATTGTATATATTTAGTTTATTCATCCAAGGAGTGAAATCACCATCATGTGTTTATGGGGAAAGAATAGCTAGGATATTTAGAAGTAAATAGTAAATAGAGAGAGAAAAACATTCCAGAAGACCCAAACACAACCTTGAACTATTCACAAGCATTCCCATTACCTGATCAGTCCTTCCGGTAGATTGACATCAAATATCAAAGGAACGTCCAGGTTTCCGCATGGCAGATTTCGGGGACCATATGGGCGAGTGTATGCGGGGTCTTTTCTCCAAGAACTGTTACGACGGACTGAGAATTGATGAATGAAAACCCCTTCCTCTAAATTCAAGATTACGGCCTGGTCCCCACGGGAACAAGACAGTGGTCGGCCATTATAGTCTAACCAGAAGGGTCCACCGCGTGCCCGGATTGATGCTTCCCTTGCATTCTCTCTATCCTCGTCGGACTGTAGAGCGTTGGGGCTGGTAGTATGGGAGGGGGGACTTGCCTCTGTTTTGATCACACTGCCCGGGTGGATGTGTTCAGGGGTATGCTCTTCGGTCTTGCGACACATAGGGCATTTGTCTGCAGCTTTAAAGTAAACTTTGCAAGAGATCTTACCGTGCTCGAAGAAGAATTTTGTCTTGCATAGAGGATCTCGTCCGAGCCTCCAAAAGCTTCTGTAAAAGCAACCACAATACTCATACCGAACCCAATGTAGAACAGGGCAGGGTTTTATCTTTAGCATTTCAAGGACTGCCATGATGTTTGTGGTTTAGTGTATGAGGTCTTGTAGAATAGGCTCTTAGAGAGTTTGTAACGATGAAGATAATGGAGACTTGAATACGAAGCCTTGGAGAGTGTGTGTTGGAATCTTATATGATCGTAGGCCGGCTGTTCGAGGCCGAATCAAAACAATTAAACAACGAATAGGCGGAACAAAGAAACCAGGCAAGTGACACAGTAGCAGCGTAGTAATAAACCCTCGCTTGGCAATGAGTCATTGTTCACAACACAAAGCCGCTGGTCGGCTGAGCTTGGCCATTAATTAATCTGGCTCTGGCTTCGCTTCGCGCTCGAAGCCAATCCCAAGGAATGACATGACTGCTCTTAATAGTACTTTTGGCGCCGAAGAATATCTGACAAAAGCTGAAGTGACTGAATACTGGTCTTACTCATTAGGCAGATTCTTCTTGGTTCGCAGCCTGATAACGCTTTCTTAGCGAATAGAGAGGCGTTAAAAACGCACGTTACGTAAAACCCCCAGTAACAAAGCTGAAAACACCGAACAATATATTCAAAGAAGCCTAACAAGATACCTCAACAATTATATAGTACTCAACAAGTTCGCTCTATTTTAGTCTGACATAGAACTATCATCTTATCCCAGAACGCATCATAATCTTGTTAGTAAAAGCACTTCATAAAACTGAACTAAGAATAACAAGCAAGTTCAATCAAACCCATCTATACTCAGCCATAATTGAAATGACTGACTTGACAATTAACACCAACAGCAGCTCTGAAGAGGTTGTTGTGCGGACACCATATCTCCGCCGTGACTCCATTTACGTCGGTTACAATCGTCCAGGTTACAACGAGTTCCATCGAACTATCTTCATCACACATCCTTCACATCTCGATGGCACAATGCATCACGCAATATATAACAAGGATACAGATTCGTGGTCTTACGAGCGACGAGATATTGTAGATCTTTCTAAGGCCCGCAGGCTCGCTGTTCTCTACAGAATTGCCTCGCTTCCTTCGGGTCAAGATTCTGAGGAGTGGTTTAGCGAAGTCGATACTGTTCTGGCGAGTGTCGATATGGATCGGAACAGAGTGAGAAGTTGCGATACGCTGGAGAGATTGCAGATTTCTAACTTGGGAGGGTACTCTTGTATTGTATGGTTAGTTGACGCAGTACAAGGATTGGTAGATAAAGGACTAGTGGTGCTCAAGGATGGCTTCAGTGTTGAGGAGGAGCTCATGGTTGGCAGATTGATCGCTGGGCCGGAGGTGGGTACATTATCTGTTGCGATTCAACCTGGACCTTTGAAGGTTGTCGATGAAAGAAAACTGACAGAGGCCGAATTGGAGAGGTTTTGTCACTGGCTACGTGGCGATAGGAGAGTTAGGCAATAAATGCCTTGTCTCTTGTTCTTCTAAGTGCCCCTCGTAGGGTAGCCTCTTTCGGAAGCAGATTGATTTTTCTTGCACCCAAAGTCCTGCCATAGCTTTCGCAATGCTTTTTCGTCTGCCCGTTATTACTTCTCGTTTCCTCTCGCGCTCATATCTTTGACAAATGCATCGAGTAGAGACTTCCAAGGAGCTAGGTCTCGATTTGGCAAAGTTTCAAAAACAAAATAAAAATAGTACTAAACAATACATCCCACACCCCCGAAGTCTTCCCAGTGAAAATTCCCCATTACATATACAAGATTGGGTCCCCGTTGTAAGAGGCCTAGTTACTACTCTGGAGCCTCCTTAAATCATTTTACTACTATCCCCAAAGCCTCGCACAACTAAATTATTTATTCGAGTTATTTAGGATAATCTAGACTTCTCGTTTTCGTATCCTAGGAATACTAGGATCAATGAGTTACACTGTGCTAGACCTTAAGTATAATAATTTGAAAAGGCTAAAAAAGGCTAATTTAAGAATTACTTAATTGTTTCGCTATAGAGCCTTTATATAATAGTTCTTTAATTAGGTTTTAAATAACAAAATAGAGTTAATTTTATAAATACTTAAAGTGTTTAGTTAAACTACGTATTCATTATAGCAAGCAGTGGTTTACTCCACACGTTCCCACTTGTCAAATCAGGATTGGCTAACTAATGAGGCGGGGAAAACCAAAACACTGTCTAGGACTGATATAAAGCTTCTTCCTCATCATATGTCAGCAACGTCACTTCCTCCCTAGACTGCTCTCCTTGAATCTCAGACACAAAGTTCTCGACATCCCAGTCGCTGGTATTAATCACAGCGAGAACCATTAGCCTGATCGTCGACCTCGCTACGACATGACTTAGCACTTTCAATATTGCCCTGCGATGCCTCCATAGCTTTCTCTCATCAGATGTCTGACACTTGTCCACGCGGTCGAGAATGCACCATATTGTTTGACCCACTTCAAATGAATTAATAACCCGCAGCAATATGGCCTGAAGATGCTCTTCGGGGCCACGGCTTTCTTTTCCCGCAGCATCCTGCACATAGGCGTTCAAGTCCGCGTTCAGTTCTTCGAAAAGATCTGTATGGTGTACCGATCGCTTATTTTGGCGAAGCAGTTGGTGAATAAAGAATGCAAGTACATTGGTGAATGGCTCATGCTCATCACACAGACCGAAAATGTAGAATACACAAAAGTCTGAGTCCTTTTTGGATGCTGGATCTGTCAAGAATTTGATCATGTCGAGCGCTACAGGAGAGACCCAACAGTGAGGGGCGTCATAGACTGAGTTGCGGCCAGAGAGAAGTAGCAAGCGTGAAATTTTGCTACTGCGCCACGCCTGGAACTTTGCATCGTTCTCTACAATCTTGTATAGCGGTGACTCAAATTCATAATTTGACCCGAACTCAGCCTCGAGATCACTTTTGTGCCTCTTCAGCCGGGCTTGATGAGCCTCGGGCGAGTATACTTCTAGTCTAAGATCGACCCGGATCTTCTCTAGTCTCTCTTGATCTCGACCTTCTAGCAATTCTGGTTTGCGACTGTCAGTCTCACGTGGATCAAGTGTGACTCGATTGGAAGAAAAGAGAGGAAATCCTACCGAGGTTGATTCTCTTCACTTCGGTCACAGTACGGTTGAGGAGCTCTTCAGAAACTCGTCTCACATCTACGATGGCATTCTGAACACTCGTCACCTTGTCATCGAGGTCTGTATTATTCCCGAATGAATTTATCCAGCGGTCTATCTCATAGATCAGTATAACGGTGGGCTTGGATGTGGGACGCAGATGAAGTCAGATACTTACTTATGGCTCTCATTGAATAGAATTCTGACGCTTCAACGCAGAACAGAATAAAGCTATCATAGGCATCCACGATTTTGGATTGCAAATGCTGACCGAGCTCCGTGTCGTCATCATAGATTTGTTGGTACATCTTTACGCCCGGGAGTCGATCTCGTATTTGAAGTAAAGTATCATTGATTTGGATTTCCATCTTGGTTCGGTTTTTGGCGATCTGTTTAAAAAGCTTAGCTGCTTTGTCGATTCAAGTTATATTTTCGAGGCGGATATCATACAGTAAGGAGAAAGCAAATAGTACCGATTGCCATTCCGCCAAACGGCGCACCGAAGTCCTTGATAATATTTACTAAAGAACCAAAATTCTGTATAATGTCGTACGCGGATGATGATAAAGAGGTGACCTTCTTTCCGGCTCTTCTCCGTCCGTGCTCGCGCTTGACGTCGAATCCGCGTTTGTTACTCAAGGCATCTTTCCAGAATATCTCGAATGCCTCTTTGCTGTCTACATTCAAAGCCGACTGCTCTGATTTGGTAAATTTCTCCGCCGTCTTAGACCTGAATTCGCTCTGGCGGTTCTCACAGCGTTCTAGCGTTTCCCTGCCAATCATGTTAAGTCACAAACATTTTAGTTAGAACTTGTTTTCAAGTGGCTGATTTGGAATATGTTCTTACAGGTCTTTTTTACTGAACCTTCGGATCTTTTGTAATTTTCCAAGCCCTTCCGACATAACTACTCCTACCTCCACTGAGTATGTGAATGTGGAGGAGATTTATTATTAGAAAAGGTCAGGCTGGAGTCAGGCTGGAGTCAGGCTGTGACAAGTTAAAATTCCTTAAGGACAAGAGCTTGGATTGGAAGAGCGGTTTGCTCTAGTGGAGAGCTCACACAACGTTGTCAGTTCGTAATCAAACCCAGGCATCCTCTTCCTGGATAAACCGGTCGACTTTTGATTTACACCCAACTGCCCGGTTCCGCGTGTTGAACTCGATCTTACACTCCAGGTTGCCACCAACCATAAAAACAATCTCATGGGTTAAATCCACCGGATGTAACGTGTGAAATATGGTAGGCCTAATATTACTGTACTGGAGCGAAAGAGAGCGTTACAATGCATGAAATCCTTCAGGAAAGGGTCTCGCTCCTGTACACCCCTTGTCACAATGTGGGGATTACAGACAATTAAGAGGGGGGGAGGGGGAGGAGTATATGAAAGGTATAGTATATTAAAAGTATTAATTGGATACTACTGTCATGCGGGTGGAAGCGAGCCTGGCCCTTTTATACCCCGTCTCAAATCCTACCCTACAGTAACAACAAGGAATCGTATAGCCTCAACGGAACACCACTTCCGCTTAAGGCTTGTGTAACCACACTCAGTGGACAAAATCCTGAGCTCCAGCTGTGTCTCCGCTCAAATATTTACACCATGCAATATTGCAAGACTGGGGTGTATGTGTAAAGGTTGCCTGCGATAAGAGACGCGTGGAAGGTTACTTCAGCATGCTGATATATAGGGCAAGGCTCAGAGCCTCATCTAGGTCGATACTTATCACTTGCAACCAGATGCTTTTACCTCCAGATTTATTAGTAGCTAGATCTCCCGCTCAACCACGTAAAGTACCGTTCCAAATCCTTTCTGCTACTTGCACTACCAATTCAAATAACAGCCGCAAATATGACTACGATAGCTGAAGGACCTTCTGTCTCGGTAAGATGTGGCCGCAGCGATCAAAATTACTTACCTAGCATAAGCTGACTCTGATTCAGGACCTGGCTGAGAAGCTTGCAGCTATTGAGAAAAAGTTGTCTGAGCTGGAGATTAAGTACAGTGGTGTTCCTCAGACGGCAGAAGCGCTCACTCCAAAGGGAAAGGCCAATGAGAAAGACCTCAACGCCGGGTCAGTAGTAGGTGATAGACAGGCTGACCAGGCGAGTTTTCCTTCTTACCTTATAGCCATGCTGATGAAAAGCTCTACCAGGAAATCGAAGAGGACAACTCCGACCCTCGCGTCAAGGTGGTGATCATCAGGAGTGACCCAGAAACAGGCGAGCCTATCGAACAGGCCAGTAAGCTCCAGACAGTCAAGCGTGAGGACCAGAAGCAACGGGCGTTCATACTGCGCAAGAATGTCTTCGATGCCAAGTTCATGCGGTACCAATTGGCCAACAGTTCCGAGATCGACATCATCAACCCCGAACTATGGGAATTGCTGAAGGAGCATCTGGGCCATTACCCATATCATATTTTCCGTGACTCCCCCGTTACTCTCCAGTCGCCATTCGAACCTATCATCTTCCATTTCGATGAGCTTAGTTCTGTGGCTCAGCAAAGCACCCAAGATGAAACCGATGCCCAAAGGGTAGCACGCGAGGATATGAAGCGGCTGTTAGATGTCATCTCAAGCGGGGACTCAGGCGACGAGAAACTGGACAAGTACTTCAAGATGCGACCCAACTACAGAAAGCAAGTTGAAGAGAACACGATCGACCCAGAGACTATTCAGTTTATGGACTTGTGGACAGCTTTTCCGCCAGGGACTTTGATTTTCGGCAAGCCTTTCCAGGGCGAGGACCAGGTGTTTGTGGTCAAGGATAACTGTAGCACTTGGCCACAAAAGCTCCCGATGCGTAATGGTGGAAGGACTTATAATCCCTGGGAGCTGGACGCATGGACATACGACTGGAAAGACGGCAACTTTCGGCGAATTGACTTCACACTGGAATTCGAAGAATTCGACGGACATCTACCGCTAACCTCCCTACCCTACTTTCCTTTCGAGCTGCATCCTCAGCATGAAGATGTCAGGAAGCGGCTTATTGAGCGTGGCATGAAATTCCGTAAGATATGCGAGGCCAAAGAGGACCAACGACTCTTTGATTACGGCGGCCAAGCTATTTCGGAACAGAAGGGATTCGCGAAACACGATAAGGAGGTTCGTTGCTATCCTGTGTTATAACTGATCCACCAGAGACAAACGCTAATGGGGGTAATCTTTGTGATTTTAGGGTGGACATGTGGCAGATTGGCGCTCTTCAAGCTCGAACGATCTATCGTTTCTATTGAGCTATACTGGGAGGAAACCTACTGAATCACTTATTCAAAACGCCAAATCTACCGACGTAAGATCTCCTCAGTTTCGGACATGATTTTTGAGGCTCCAAGAAGACTGAACTCTTTCCCAGGTCCGAAGCAGAGTCATGGTAGATTACGATTCCTTCTTTCAGTACGCCCGAGATGAAGGGCGAAACGGACCCCTTGAGCCAGCAGACGGAGGCCCAGGGTGCATGTGTTCAGACTGTCAAAGCAATGAAGGTCTAGATAAAAGATACAGGCTCCGATTTGACATGAAGGCCGGTGATAAAGAATGGGAAGATGACCAGTATCTGATATGCCCGCCACGAGTTCTAGGCTATGTTCTAGCAAATAAGGAATGGGCACAGCTGCAGGTAACGAGCTTAAGTCCGATCACCGCAGGCAGCAAGAAAGACATGAATACTCAGTTTAGCCTTCTCAAGCTTGCTGATGATGCTGAAGACAATACGAAATCCAATCGAGATACTCGAAAGCGCAGGGGTGAGCTCTTCCGTTCCAAAAAGTCTATTTGAGTCACCTAACGGACATGGAATAGACACGAGCACCAAAGGACTACTGTTAGACCTTGTTCGTAGTCATACGACAATGCAATCAGGAGAACGAGACGATGAAACAGAACAGAAGAATACAAAGCTCGAAGTGGATGATATTATTCCAGGAAAGGGGAAAGGACTTGTCGTCCTGCTATACGGTAATATTTCAGCATTCACCCCTTTCAGATAAGGGTTACAGAATCTCATTAGCTCATACTATTATATTAACACATCTTGCATAGGACCCCCGGGAGTTGGGAAAACGTCGACAGCAGAAATGATGGCCATAGCTACCAAGAAGCCGTTGTTCTCCGTGAGCGTCGCCGACGTGGGTACAGAAGCCAAGCATGTAGAGGCCAATCTCTCGAGAATATTTGCATTAGCTACAAAGTGGCACGCCATTCTCCTCATGTTTGTTCTTCCACACAAATTAGTCCACTATAGACTATATATTTGTCTTTCCAAGTCATTCTAATTTAAATTCGCAGCGATGAGGCTGATGTGTTCCTCGAGAGCCGCGGACGAGGCAGCAAAGTTCAATCGGCAGACAAAAATGCTTTAGTCTCAGGTGCGCGCAAATGCTTAGATCACATAATGCTGTGACGGAAACTAACGTGCTCTGATGCAGTATTTCTGCGTGTACTCGAGTATTATCACGGCATCATGTTTTTAACCACCAACCATATAGCAAGCTTCGATATTGCTATCGTCTCACGTATTCACGTGGCCATTCGCTTCGAGAGTCTGGACCAAAAACAGACAGAAGCGATCTTCCGAAATTTCCTTGACAAGCTAGAAGATAACCGCCTCATTGAAAGCTACACCGATAGGGATGGTATCTTAGATTGGCTCGAGGACACTGTATACAGAGAAGGTCTTGACGGCAGACAGATCCGAAACGTCGTCACGACAGCTCTTGGTTTGGCTCGGGCGGCGAAGGAAGAGGGAGATGGGAACGGAAAATTAACCAAGGAACATCTGAGGAGGGCTTTCTTGAACGTCAACACTTTCAAGAACGATTTCAAGTTACAGATGCAGAGATACAAGGATAGTCAGGAGAAGATGATTAAGTAGTGATAGGACGGATTTATAATATCACTTTGCGGTTACCTAATTCTATTTTATTTTATTTAACATCCGGCGAATACAACTAGCCTTCTTGTGCTAGGTTTTAAGAATCCCTAATTAGGGCAAAGGACGCTAGAGGGGTACCCTAGGCTTCTGGTGTAAATAAAAGACTATTCTACAGGTGACAGGTTAAAGAGAGGCCCTTCTTCCCAGATAACCATTATAACTAGACAGGAAAAAGAGATAGGATAATAAAGAAGGAAAGAAAGTAACGGGGCTAACCCGAGACCGGCCGTAGAGGGCAGATCTTAAAGTAGAAGCTAGATTTATAGGAGAGTTCTCGAAAGAGCTTTTTCGAGAATGGTATAAAGAGGAGCCGTAAGTCGCGTTTAGCCCTAACTATAAGTTCGGAAGCCTTTCGCTTAACTATTCGGCAGAAGAGAAGGTGAAATAGCGTCTTTTCTTTACCGTAGGAGTAAATGCCGGTCTCAAGGATGGTATCAGGAGGGTTGAACCGGGTATAGTAGATTATAAAGTCCCCGTGGCTTATCCTAGCTACTATTAGGCGCCTAATACCTTCGCGGAGGAGTTTAAGAGACCGGGATTTCGGGGCCCATTTCATAAGGCCCAGGTTCTTATATAGGGCAGGGACGATTTTTGGTATTTCTAGTTCGTACGCTTAGTACCTTAGCGCTACCGCTCCTAGATTCTAAGTCTATGCTCTTCTAGCTATAGGTATTATATAAGTATATCTTATTCGAATTACCATAGGTACAGGTTTTATCTTGAGCGGAGTTTGACTAAACAAAAATAGAGGATCCATGTTTTCATTTCGCAAAAGCGGTAACTGCATCAACCAAAAACTCCACAGTCTCTTCCGACCTACTAAAAAACGGCGAATGACTACTCTGCACCTCCCTCAACACAATATCAGCACCCTCCGACCTCGCCATGCCAACAAGCATCCTCTGCATCTCAATCGGCAGACCCCTATCCTCAACCGTAGCCAAAAACCAACACGGCACATCCTTCCAACCCGAATAAACATGTTCTCCCCCATCCTTCAAAGCCGCGAAGGCTTGTTTTCCGAGCTTACCCACACGATACTTTGCTTCTTCATCGGAAAGATCGTGGTAGAAGAACTCTCTCGGGTCCACGGCTAGGACGGCAAAGCCACTTGGATCGAGTGTGAAGAAGGGTGGCGGTGTTCCGCCCATGGGGTCGAGGAAACTCATTCCGGTCGCTGCGAAGCCGGTTGCTATCAGAGCTAGGCCGATTACATGACCAGATTTATTTTCTGGTGTGATTTCTTTTGGTTTGGCGAGGTCTTTGATGGCGCTAGCGCCTACGATTCCTCCGTATGAGTGTACCACAACTACAACATCACGCCCTTGTGTTGTCTCGGAAATAATTGCGTTCCGGGCCGCGGTAAGGTCGTCTAAGAATGTTGTAGATGCTGTGGTTGTTGGTGAACCTGAAGGGAGAGAGACTAAGACACATTTGTAGCCTTGAGCTTCGAGGGGAGGAGCAACTTTGTCCCAGGTGCTTGGGTTATGCCATGATCCATGGATGAAGACGATCGTTGGTTTAGGAAACATGATGAATTGAAGAGGTTATGCCTTTCTGATGGGTTGTGAGAATCAATTTGGCAAATTCAGATTATTGCGGAGAGGTATATTTCCTTATGACGAAGAGAAGGTGCGATGAAAGAAATGAATGCTGAAATTGGGAGGAACACGGAAACTCAGTCTTTGTATCATAATGAGAAGAACAATCCACCGATTAATCTTCAGTCAACCATCTCGCTTCCAAAGGCTGACATGTCGTACCCGGCTCGTTTTCGTGGCATTGCTTTTTCAAACACGTTATCCTTAAGTGAAGCTCCCGGATACCTGTTTCGCTCACGTAATCCGGGTATGCAATGTACCCCAGGTGCAGCTGCGGAAGACCAGTTGGAGATGATACCTAATGACTACCCGAAAAACCCATAATAACGAGGCAATACAGACTCAATTATCCTAAGTTCCAAGAAATGTAATTCAAACTTTGTGGTCCTATTAACAGATGAAGAATTTCATCAACCATACTATAGTTCCTAAATAATCTCCAAGGCTCGGCCCTAGTTCTATTATAATGAACCTACTGACCCGAATGCTTGTCTACAGCATTGAAACGTGTAGTACAGAAAACCGATACAAGTGAGTGACGGATATTATTTTACTGGCCTACAAGTTTACTACAAATCGTTTTCTACAGTCGATACCATTATGGGGAAGAAGGTAAGGGAGTTCCCGACATAGAATAATACAGTAAGCCCAACTTAACAGTGAGGTATTCGCTTGTTTCTAAGATATTGGGAGGAAGAGTGCTCCCACGAAATTTGGGAGGAGATCAATTGTTTGAATGAATGCTCATACTATCACAGGTGATATGTGAACTCACGGGAGAAAGTTAGACGAGATCAAGTCTGAACATCGTTTATCCATGATTAAAATACGAGTGTTCGAAATTCTATGCATTGAATTGATTTCTAGAGAGATCTAAACTGATATGGTTTAATATAACTCCCCCTTGCTACTTCCAGTCTGAACAAGTCAGGCATAAGCTTTAAACAAGACTGATCAATTCCACAAACGGTGGACAAAAACGTCAATCTCACAAAAGATATCTTCAATCGAGGCACAATCTCAGGAGGAGCTTCCGAATTAAATAACATGATAAATCCACTAAACCACAAAAAACCCCCCTACCAATAAACCTCCATCCCCACAAAATCCGCAGCATACTGTACCAACCCCCCCTCCTGAAAGCCCTCCAACAACACCGGAAACAGCCCCGCATCCTGCCACCCCTTATGCTCCGTAAGCAATTCCGAGCTCTTCCCACTAAGCGGGACCTCGATCCGCGTAATAACACCATTGACATTAATAGTGAGATTACGGGTATTAGTACCCAGATCAAAGGCAGATTGGAACGCAATGTCGTTATTGGTGAAGTAGACATTGGCGTATTTGGGTCCTGGCCCGGCGCCGGGGGGAGACATGATGCCGGCGGTGCCCAAGACGGTGGGTGAGAGGTTTCCGATCTTGGAGCCGACGGGGAGACAGAGGCCGGTGAGGCACTGGGTGAAGGTTCCTGGGGCGTCGATTTCGAAGATGTCGGCGCCGAGAAGCATGGGTGTGGAATCGTAGACGTTTAACTCGGTGATGGTGAGGCGCGTGTCGACTGCCACGATGTTGTTGTTTCCTGCTTGTAGTGGGAAGTTGGGGATTGTGAGCTCGGTTTGACCGGCTGGGAGTGTGTATGTGGCTTGGTTCATTAGGATTGTTTCGTCGTCCAGACTTTCTACTTCGAATTTGACTCTGGCAATGAGGTTCTTGCTTGTGCTTTTGGCGTACACGTTTTTGAATGTGAATCTATAGAATGCATTAGTATAGTCCCCGTCAATTGCGGAAGTCAACTTACTCTGTGGCAATACCCACAGCATCAGAGACGTTGTAAATTCCGAAAGCAGTTGTCCCCCCTAATTCCAAGAGCATCGTTCCATGAGCCCCAACTTCAGCGGTATATGAAGTTACCACATTTTCAGCAGTGGTTTTGGCCCAGATATTCTTGACTGTCTTTGCCTTCTGAATGCTAATATCCGGGAAATCCAGCGTAAGGTTTCTAGGCTCATTGAAGAGGTTGATGACAGCAACAACAGTACGGTCTTCAGTCAAAGGACCATACCAGACTTCATATCCTTCTTTTGTGTAGCGTCTTGCGAAGCGTGCTGGTACTCCAAGGCCATCCTGATTATAAGAAATGACATCCTTATTCGAGAGAATGGCCAAAGAACTAGCTACAATGTTTGTCTGGGTGTCACTCAAAGCACCACCGATAATCAAGGGACTCTTGATGATAGCCCAGAGACTGAAATGAGTTTGCTCCTCTGGCTCGGTGAAGAGGTTATTACCAACTTGAAGCATATCCAAATCAAGCCACTATCAAGTAGTCAGCTTCCACGTCTGAAAAACACCAAATTAACAGGACAAGTAAACTTACCCTTCCCGGTTGGCCGTAAGTAGTCTGAGAAACAACTTGATTCAAGATTCTTGGCACGGTTCTCCATGCCCCCGTAATATCATTAGTAACTCTCCATGAATTTCCAATCTCAGGTGCCCAAGCACTCGGAAAATCCACACCCCAATTGCAAATCTGGATAATCATTGGTTTGCTTAAACTTTGGATCGCTTTGCTCATTACTGTCATTGCACCTTTAGGTGAAGTCTTGGGGGTATATGATACGGTAGGATAGTTCAGATCGGCATCTGAATAGCAATTATCGTACTTCAACAAGTCTGCGCCCCAAGATTCAAATGTTTTGGCATCCGTAGCTTCGTTGTCTTCAAATATCACCAGTCAGTATACACACGATCACCCACCACCATCGTGGGAGAAAAAAAGAGAAGTTCTAGAACTCACTCAGACTGCCGGCTTGGTCTGGTTGCCCCGTCATACAAGTTTTGATCCCCGCATCTTGGTAGACTCCCTAACCAAATGTTAGCGTGCCCACATTTCATTGCCTCTTTTTCAACGGTCAAGACTCGACTTACAAATTTCAGATCCAGCTTATGAAGCCAGTCTCCCAACGCCTTGTACCCACTGGGGAACAAATCCGGATTTGGCTGCAATTGCCCATCAGTCGCACGATCAGGGACCGTCCATCCACAGTCAACAACCACATAATTGTAACCCAAAGCCTGGAGTCCAAGGTCTACCAAAGCCTGGGCATTAGATTTTATGATCTTCTCATTTGGTGAGCAGCTATAGTGATTATACGAGTTCCAACTAGAACAATCGGTCAGACGAATCAGGAGAAGGAAGAAGGGCAAGAAAAGACATTACCCTAAGATTGGAGTTTTGGCAAGGTTATTGTCTAGACGCTTTTCCAATTGACTCTCAAAGGGCGTAGCATCAACCAGAAAAAAAGCCAGTACCACCGCACCAAAAGTTTTAGAATTAAGAAGGACAAACATCTCGACCGATCTAACGAGTGACAAAAGTTGAACCGAGGCAACTTACCAGGAGCAGAGAAAAAGAAAAAAAGAAAAAAAAACAATGGGATTAACGCTCATATTTATAAATTTCCCCACGTGTACCTAGGCACAAGAACCCCTCTCTCTGGGGAAGCCAGGGGAAAGAAGAGTGACAAGTGACTTCATCGAAAGAGACATCCACGATTCTCCCCGCCATCATCGCCGCGTTGAGAGCCGGTCACAGGTACTTTTCCCGGAAAGCGCACCAATTAAAACACCAATCACGTACCCTTCAAGCCCGTGATCCGGGGAAACCTCGTTGACATGGATGCGGAAGGTGTCGATACCGACGAGGCTATCCTGAGGGGATGGGCCTTGGCACTGGTAAAGAAGTGGAACTTACCTTCATAGAAACAGCTTATATAGACGTGCTAATCTTGAATGGCGCCAGGTGGTTCATTGCAAAGTTGGGTGATTGCGTAAAACTAGCCACCGTTGGAGAATAGATAAGAGATTGTTTTAATGATGTTTAATGACAATAAATTACAGACTTCAGAGATAATCCTGAAGATATAGATTGTTCTGGCAAACTTGGGATGAACATTCCAAGGAAAAGAGATGACATGGCGTATGCAAAGGGCTCTGGGAGGGAGTTTGATCTCCGAGAGTTTGCTATTACACCCGAGACGATCATGAGATCTATTTAGCCTCATTATCCCCTCAACTGCGGCCGAGAGTGCACTGTTGAGTGGTCCGTGTTCAGAGAGGGACACCAACGTTCTAAATAGCTTTAATTATACTACTAAACAGTTTATAAAAAAGAGATCGCCTTAAAAAAAGACACACATATAATAACTTGATTGCTGATAAAAACTAAGAAATAAGTATTTACTATCTAACTCCTTGAGTCCTTTCACTATCCTCTCAAGGTGGGCATATGTACATCAGACCCTCCAAGCTTGTAATACCCACTTTGTACCCACTTTACGAATTAAGCCTTGCGATTATTTTAACGTCCATATAAAGTCCCAAAATCAACTCTCGAATGCGGATCAAGAAGTGATTTGCAATTGATTCACAACTACGGTACTTATAGTCGTTTACGACGTAAAATTAGTATTCATCCTCTACACCATAAATCGCCCTTTCCGTGCGCAAATCCTCTAAAACATCACAAACTTGTAGATATTAGAATACGAAGGTGGTATTACTTTTATCGATTTCGAAGTGCTCTCGAGCCTCAACACGACAACCCAAGAGGTATCAAAGTAACAAGACGAGAGTGTATACTTTACGAAATACCCTTGTACGAGCGTTGTTTTTGTAGGTATTATAGCTACGCCGGTAATGCTATTGTAACCAGGTGTCAGGGAGGGGAATCTAATAATGTAGATAAAGAGATAGACTCGAGTAATAGTAGGGATTCTGATTAGTATTATATATTCTCATTTTTAGACGTTCTCTGCGATAGCTTTAATTCTGACCTTTGGATATAATTCTACTTAAGAAAACGCTTGTTTACGGAGATCAATCAGTAAAGTGGGTATCGTGAGCTTAAAAAGTCTGATGTACATATGTTAAAGCGGTATTTATATATAAGAATAGACCTTGTTTATATACTTCTCATTAAGGAAATACAAGTAAAAGCACTTAGTTAAATAACCTCATTACCTCGCTAATAGGTAGAGCACGCACCAGTACATCTCTCTTTCTAGCCATACCTAAGAGAAATCCCAAGTCCAAACTCCACTAACATGCACAAACAAAGATCTCACTAGATACCCTGCCAGACAAAAGAAACCTCCACAGCATTACTAGTAGTATTCCCCTGTGTATAAATCTTCTGCTGCACAGACCCGGTCGGAATCGCAGCAGCGTAGAAAGTAGAGCTCGCAGCATAAGCCAACGAGCCATTGAGATTCTAGTTGCATCACATCATCAGTATTGCAGTTTGGTCCAAGGATACAAGGAGTCGACTTACAGTGAAGACCTCACCCGCTGTATTGGTGACGGCGCAAGAGAATGAATTTGCAATCATAGCACAGGGGCCTTTGCTACTGGTGAGTGTAAAACCGTCGCCTGGTAGTGTTGTTAGCTTTTGAGTTTTTTGCGATAGGTGGGAAGGGTAATTACCCGAAGCTGCGGCTGTGTAACCAGCGCAGGTACCGGTTGTGTACCATGTCCCCGCACTGATTAAGCACCCCTTGTTGGTTCCCCCAGTATAAGCTTGTAAAAATCCCCTGCCGGTATAAGGAGCTGCGGTTGAAGTCGGAATACTTCCAGTAGTCGTTGATGTTGGTGTTGCTGTCTGGTGTTTTGGGAGGTACTTGATTCCATTATCCGGACATGAAGATTTACTTCCATCTGGGGAAGTTGGGACAAAGTCTCCGGTTTGAACATTTCCTCGTACATTATAGTGGTACCATACCTCGTCTAAGGCGCCTCCCTTGCAGGAGATGGTGACAGGAAATCCGTGAGCTGCAGTCAAAGCGTCTTGGATTTGGGTAAAGGTGTAAGTTGCTGTAGTTGAGGGAATGATACTCGCAGCTTCTAGAAACTACGGTTTGTGTCAGTAATCGTGGTTACAAGAAGTGAACATTCGAAGCTTACAGCATAAGTATCTAGTCCCGCAAACAAGCTTACAGCCTTTTCAAAATAATCAACCACTTCCTCCTGCCCTTTGTATCCATTATAACAACTTGGCTCCAACGTGCTGATGCAGGTTCCGTGTTTGTCCCATTCGTGCTCCCAGAAGCTCTCATCATTCCCTTGATAATCCTTCCAGTATTTGCCCATGTATGCCAATAAATCTGTTTTGCCATACGATTGAAGGATTTGGGTAATATTGGAGTATTCTCGGGATGCATCACAATTCGCGTCGTAGGTGCCATCACATCTATCTGGCCAAAGCCCGTGAAGAGTCCATGAATTGTTTGGCCCTTGAGTTCGCATTAGCCAACTTTCCATGCCAGATTATTTTGCCCGCTCTTTCTCTGCTACCATAACTGAGACGCAAAGTTTAGGCTTACCAGTGCTTGGTGCAGTATCCCAAAATTGTGTTTGTAATAACTGCCCTCCTGGCGCATTGAAACAACACAGGTCCTCCGCCACTGTGGTATTATGACAGCTCAACTCCGAATTCCCACACGCTTTCGGGCCTGAAGGAAAACCTGTAGCCGAGCTGGTTGGTGCTGAACTCGTCGATTCTATGGTGACTGAGATGGAAGTACTTGTAGTGAGAGGACTCGAGGTTGAAGTGACCGGAGTCGAGCTTGCGATGCAAGTACATGCACTACTCACTCTGCTTGCAACATCTCCGGTACATCCTACAACGGCATAAGAAGGAATGGCACTCGCAGCAGAGACGGCAGCAGTGGTAAAGGTAGCACAGAATAATTGAGCCTCCTCGAGTCGAGCTGGTGCGCGTAAAGCTCGCAAACAATTATCCGCATTGCAAGCCGCAAAACATGGAACTGCAAGACCCAAAGAAAGAAGAAGAGAGGAAAGAGGTGCCATTTTGAATATTCAAGCAGCTGCTGAGATACTTACGGAGTAAGCCTGCAAAGATGAGAAAGTCCTCCTACCTTTATATTCACTTTTATCACATCCCACTTGGGCTCGTATCTACTTCATAGCCTAGTTCATAGGAGATATCGATATGCAGGAACCGAACGAGCCAAAGTAGGTACGTTCCCGTCGGTACAGCTGAAGGACTAGCAAAATAATGGGCAACAATTGCACCGATTGGAAGTAGAGCAGTGAGAGCGCACACATGGTGTCCTCGATTGGTATCTGAGGAGCGGGGCGATAGTACGTCCATCTCCAAGAGGCAAGTACGAAGTAACAAGCGCCATAAACGCGGGGCTGCTTGTCGGTTCGACCGATTTTGGAGGTTCGCCACAGCCAATAGATTTGTGTTACTGCAACTGCTTGGAAGCCATCATGATAGTGGTGGAGGGTGTGAAATAAAAAGGAAGCCTAAAGGTTTGCAATCGAATTGGATTGGTCGAACGGGTCGCCCCTCTTATCAAGCCTCGCTGACGGAATCAACCTAACGCCCCTAGAGGTCACGTGATACTACCGTCAAGTACCTAAACAATCCATTGGAAGAACGGAATAAGCAGGTAGCAGAGGTCGTACTTGTAGCTCTCCAAATGTATGTATGGCAACGCATTTTCCAAGTACTTTAATATACAAATTTCGTATCCCCTGCCTCAATGTTCAACAATCCATAGTCGTCAAAGCTGAGGTTAGTTACTCCGTACCATACCTTTGTGTATTTCGTGCAATGGTTGTACTCAAACTATTCAGAGCCTTTTTCTACAAGATATATGAATATCCGGTCCCGCGCCGTGGAAGAACATTCAGTAACGATGACTTCATATGACGTCTATCCTGTTACAGTTATTTATGTTACTCACCTCTACCTAGATCAAACCGTACATTTTAGGCCAGCGCACCCTACTATCCCGTTTTCTTTAACGCTTGTAATCAATCTCAGACAAGTGAGTTGAACCTCAAAGTTCTCTTTGGCATCCATCTGCCTGGTAAAGCTGGAACTTCTTAGTTGCTGTATTGGACTTTTCACGAAGTAATTTGAGACGATGATCGAGTTTGCTGTACATCCGTAGCTAGCGAAAATGTACGGTTCCGATTCGCGTGGGAGCGGGCCCGGCTGGTGCTACCTGTGTGACTGTGTCAGTGTGTTCATTTCAGAAACGAAACATCCTAAACCTTACCAGTTACCTGTCTCAAGACTTGACAACATCATATCAAGGAGCACCCTTCAACTTCATCTATTCTCTATGAACTTGGAAGTAAAACAAAAATTACCCTCTCCAATTCCCAAAAGCCGAGAGCATCGATTCCTGAAAACAGAAGATGCATTCAATCAATACACGCCCAGATAGGCAGTCCAGTCTGAAGGATCTGACTGGACAGGGCAAGGGCACTCTCTTCCAGATATTCAGATCCATTCCCATCGCAAAACCCGTGGATTCAAGATGTGAACCCGGTGTTCATACACCCGACGAGATCACCAATCCCATGTTTTCATCATCGTGAGATGCTACCGGTACAGTACTTGGTACAAAAAAAGCAAATCTACGAAGTAAGGTTCACCAGTCGCGAGGGTTCCAGGGATATTCGCCGGGTTTCGGGCAGCAGAGTGTCAACATTCCTACGCCGCGGTTCTAAAAGCAGAGGCTTGGCGTAAGAATTAAATTCAGGGGATACGACGGGACAGGTATAGGTCATCTTGGTCTGATGCCTGGGCTCTGTGTTGGCCATCCGTTCTCCTCAGACGGTTGGATAGTACAGAGTATATCCTCACTTTCACTCGTACCGATATCCGCAGGACCGCATCTTGTCTGAAGCGCGCTTCCTTCTGCCGCTGTGCGAAACATAAGTAGGTACCTACGGCTACCTGCTACGGCTACCTGCTACGGCTACCTGCTACGGCTACCTGCATCTGCATCTGCATCTGCATCTGCTGTGCCGTTACCACGTATTCCGTTTATCCGCTTCGGTTCCGCAGCGATGGACGCCCATGAGGTAGCTTACAACGCATTTCCTCACCAATGAAACTCGCAACTGATAGTGCATCTAGAACAAGGGAGTGTTGACCATAGTCAAGGGGAAGCGAATCTCACTGTTGCTCAAAACATTGTTTGCCTTCTTCGTCATATATGCCGTCAGTCTACTATGGCCATCCTCGGTCAAGGGCATTTCCATCCCATACAACATCTCGAGGCCGCCGCCAGCCGACCCATACCATGCATTGGGCGTACAACCAGACACGCGAAACGTAGCGGCCATCATCGAGACGCGACCGCTTGAAAATCTGGGTCCATTAATCCTACACTTCTCCTCCGTCCTCGGTCCCAACTGGCCCATCCACATCTTCACCGAAAAAACCGACCACCTGCAATCAGCCGCGCTCCAACGAGCCGTCACACTCAAGAACCTCGTCATCCACATCCTCCCCTCGAACATCACATTCGACACCCGCGATGCCGTCTCCGAATTCCTGACCCAGCCCTGGTTCTACGAACAACTCGCGCCCGCCGGCCACATCCTGCACTTCCAAGCCGACAGCATCATCTGCGCGAACGCCCCGATGCACATCGACGACTTCCTCCAATACGACTTTACCGGTGCACCCATCACGCCCGAGTTCAAGACAGCAGCGGGCTACAACGGGGGATTGTCCCTTCGCAACCGCGCGATGATGCTCGACATCATCGCGAAGAAATCATGGAAGAGCGAGCAAGCCGCGGCCTGGGACCCCGAGGATAAAACCACCCGCTACGAGATGCGCTACGAGGATCAATGGTTCTATCAGAAGATGATTGACATGCCCCCCAAGGCGGACGGGAGTCCCTACGCCCGACTGCCGGATCGCGAGGAGGCCAAGAAGTTCTCGGTCGAGACGTTTTGGTACGATACACCCATTGGATTCCATCAGGTTGGCCGATGGGACGTCTGGACTGAGGAGCGGTTGAAGGCTCAGGAGAAGTACTGTCCGGAGTGGGCGCTTGCGACGAAGGAGGAAGTTAAAGACCAATAAGTGAAGGATGGGTTCTCTTTTGCCTGCCTGACTGACAGCACGTGGGATTTTGGAGATCTAACGGCGTTGGAAAGAATTTCTTTTTGTATCATCTCTTTTTTCACTAGACGGGGTTTTTGGCATACCCGTGGATGGCGTTACCATTTTCTTGTATATGTATACTTTTAGGGGGATTGGGGATTTGGAATCCAGCTACTGAACATGTATTTATTGTCCATACAGCTCTTCGACTACCGCTCTTCAGCAAGGGGTTTCTATGAAATACACACGAGACACAAGACATAAGAACTTTTCCTTACAGCATTGACTATTTGGAATTACTGTCGTGCATGCAACACAGCTGGACGAAAGTCGTACAGTAGGTTCAAATACCCATATCCCTCTAAAACCTACGTAGCCAGCCTCGTTAGCGTAAGAAAGAAATACTTAGCTAATCAAGTATACACGGGTTATACTTAACTAGGTTAGAGTAGGTTTAAGTATATAGTCTAGTTGAGTAGGTTAGAGTAGTAGATTCACCTACTTAAGTATACGCAAGTAATTATATAATAGTAACTAAAGTATAAAATAACAAGTACCTATACTCTTTATTAGAATTCAAGCCCCTTAGCTACCTAGGTAAAGAGCTACTCGCTAGCGTACTTATCACGGGTATTTATAAATCTTTCCTCGCTAAAAGTTAGTAAAATAGTACAATTTTTATATACTATTTACCTTCTACTAGTTCGTATAAGGGAGTATATACCCGACTAAGCCGAACTAGGTATACTACTACTAGCCGGTATACCCCTAGGTGCGCTACGGGGCCTCGGGCCGACTAGTGTAACGATACTTAATTAGTACTCTAACCTACTTAATTCTTGGCGAGTAGGTTAGAGTAGGGCTAAAACCTACTAAAGTAGTATTAAGTAGGTACCTCTACTCTACTCTACTCTACTCTACTCTAGTTATTTAATACGCTAAGCCTCGTACAAGGAAAAATTCTTCTTACCACGAGCCATTGGGAATAATTTCAAATTTCAAATTTCAAACTAATCTATTTACAGTATCTTTATTGATCTCACAGTCATTTAGGAAAGTTACATTAATTGATTTTTAATCTTTTATGAATTCTGGCAAACAGGTTCTTTCTTAAGGTGTTTAACAGTATAAGAGGTGTATAAGATTACGATTACAGCGTTTCGATCGTCCAACGACTGTCCCACCCTCTTTTTTCTTCCCTCCTCGCCGTGTTGTGTTATGTCTTGAACTTAATAAGTGAGTATATCAACAGTTAAATTACACTAGTCTTTATATAGGTAATTCATCGCATGTTCATTTTCATTGAAAGAAAGTCTACACTCAACTAACAAATAACAAACAACAAATAAGATACCTAAGATAAGATAAGATAAAATTACAATCCTGATATAAACTATACCTACGTAGTACAATACACCCCATATATTTTCCTTTCCTTTCCTATCCCATTTCAATCTGGAGGAAATTTTCCTATTCTTCTTTCCTTCCATCTACTTGTACCCGTCCTTTTATCGTGTTGTGTGCTTGTACGCTGAATACACAGACAGACATAGGAAAACCAAACTGAACTGGACAAAACTGAACTGAACAGAACCAAAGATAACCCAAGTACATACAATACAATGTAGTAAGTACGTACGTATCCCAAAATACAAGAGGAAAAAGTTCAAGGGAAAAGGGAAAAAAAGAAGAGAAGAAGAGGGGCAAAGAGAAGAAAAGAAGAAGAAAAAAGGCAAGGAGGCAGGGAGGCAGAGAGAGCCCTCAAAGATATAAAACAAAACTCAAACCAAAAAATAAAATACAGTAAAATAGAATAACGAAACGTCCATCAAGATGTACGTACATCCCTCCTAATCAATACACCCACAATCCCCCTTCTGCCCCCCAAGCCTCCAGCCCGTCCCCAGACCAGGACACCGCCACGCAATAGCCTCACTACTACACTGCAACAACACGCCCCAAAGCCGCTCAACCGTCATCCCCAACCACGGCCGCTCAAGCGTATCGCTCTTCCCATACACCCCGGGGGGTATCTCCACAACCTTAACCTCCCCTTTCGTCTCGTTCCTCAGGACACCACCGGATGGCACCTCCTCCCTGGTCCCAGGGAACCACCGTCCGATGAGGGGCTCGAACGGCAGGGGTTTGGGGAGTCTATCAGCTTCGTGGGCCCATGAGTTTTTGACGTCGGCTTTCTCGAGCGCGTCGCGGAGCATTTCATAGATATCCTTCTTGATGCCGCGGAGGCGGGCGGCGGAGGCGACGAAGTGGTTTCCGCGTGTGAGGAGGACGCTTCCGCAGCGGTCAAGGCCGGGGTTCGCCCCCCCGTACATGGAGGGTAGGAGCTTGAAGGAGTCTTCCCAGCCGGTGGAGTCTTTGCAAGAACCGCAGTTGCAGACTTCCATGGGTCCGAGGTTGAGGAAGGAGGTTTTGTCTGAGGCGTCGGGCATGGGGAAGCTGCCGTAGATGAAGTAGTCGCTTAGTCTTTGGTGAAGGTGGTCTGGGTTAATGGGGGGAGTGGAGGGCGTGGTGGTTATGAAGAGGGTCTGTTGAGATAGTTTGTCCCAGTTGGTTATGATATGGTAGAGATAGGATGCTGTTGGTCCGCCAGAATTGGACAGAGTTGCAACAGAGATGGGTCCTTCGAAGGTCGGCCCTCGTAAATGACCTACGTTTGCAAGGTCGAGAGTTGGGTCTTTGCTGTAGATTATAACACTGGGTCCGAAATTTGCTACGGAACCGAGACTTGTGTATCGTGTTATGAGCTCGGCAATTTGTTCTTGAGGGTCACCGGCGCTATGCGCGATGATAATATCCATACTGCGAACGGCAGGAGGTCGCCATATTTTATCAAGGTTGACGGTTGGGTCGACGAACCAGGTTTGGGCGTCACGGTTGTATGCGAACGTGTCGATAAGAAATATGGCGTTACAACTCATGAGTATTGCAAATACCAAAGTAGTACCAATGAGAACAAGAGGCAATTGCCACGGTTGAGCCTGGATTGGTGTTTGCTTTCGGCGGGCGATTCGAGTGAGCATGTTCACAAATCGAGGTGGGTAAAATGCGATATGTCTTGGGCCAACGCTAGCGATATAGATGATGATAAAAGATATGACTTGTAGCCAATCCATGAGGTTACGTTCCTTTCCAAAAATTGCACCAAAAAGCGAGGTGAAGAAGCTCGTGTGTAGGGTGGCTCGAACTGCTGTTGATGCGTCTGGGTGTGGATCTTCCAATGCTCCGCAGGCTTGGTCGTTGGACGAGTATGGATATGCTGAATTCATGGAGGTAGTGAAAAGGAGTTGAAGAAGGATACTAGGGACGACATTCCATAGGTATCGTATGTTAGACCAAGATCCCATAACATGTGAAGCTGCCACCATATTTTCATGTGTGATAACTGCTTTCCATGTAACCAACAAGAAAGGAATTCCAGCGACGAGGTATAATTTGAGGGGAGAGTCCCAAGTCCGGGCACTCTTCTCGATCTTTGGACCGATTCTCATCACAGCTTTGGCCAGGCTGAAAAGGAAGAATGAGGCCAGGGCAAACCATAATCCGGCAGTATTAAGACGATAATCCTCAAAAACCACCAATGTTAAGCAAAGCGGGATGAGAATCACTATCCAGAGCGTCCAAAGAGGCATGGTGACTCCATCTTGTCGAGTAATTCTCAAGAGATGCAAAAGGCGGAAAACCATACTGTCGCTAACATATGTCAAGATCTATTTCTTATTAGTCTAGTCTTCTTTCCGCCGAGTTTAACACTGACCGGTAACATTGCGAGAACAGTCAGATTGTTATACAACATCAGGGCTTCGGCTGCACATATAATGGCAACTGCAGAAAAGCAGGCCGAAACCAGCAATCTCACTCCAACGATGACCCGTTCACGCATGGTGTATCCATCCTCATCGATTTTCGCCTTGGGCTGCCGAAGTTTGTGTACTTGGACAACAAGAACTGTGATAGCCACCAAGGCATAGGTAGCTATCTGTAACGAAAAAAGGAGATACAATGCTAAATTCATTATCAATAAGACTTCACCAGGCATTTCACCTCAAACCACTTACGGTATGCTATTGATCAAGTCAGCAAACATCACTTCATCCATTTCAGTGATCAGTCCCAATATGAAAGCGAACCAACTCACGAAAATCACCTCTCAACAATCCCCTCCCCGTCAAAGTCGCCGTAGTCGCCAAGACAATCCATAGCGAGCCTTTGATACTCTTCCTCAGCTCCGGTTTATCCCCATAGTCACTGTACCCGCCGTCACTCTCATCCTCACTGCCATAACCACTTCCATCGGGGTTGAGACGGGTCAGTTCATGTTCATGTGTCGGCAGTAATGTCTCGTCTTGACCCTCTTTCCGTTCCTCCATTCTCGTGGCCGCCACCCGCGATAAGCTTGATCGCCCAAGACACCGAAGACCCAAGAGACTGGCTTGAATGAAGTAAGGGATGGTGTATCAGTCCGAACAATCCAATGGTGCCAGCCTCGAAAGGGAGAAAATGTCTAAGATAAACAATCCGTTCCACGTGACGACTCGTACATCTCCCGATTCCCGTACGTTCCAGGTTGCGTTTTCCCGTCTTCCCCGGTCGCTAGCTTCTTCCAGCGATGCAATAGACACTCCCCTTCTCAGGTATCGTGATTCCAACCTGCCCAGGTGGTGCCGTAAAAGAAAGGGCGTGCAAGCGATGATGGTGTTGTGGCCAAAAGAAAAGGAGGCAGCTCGAGGCGTACGATGTTGTTGACAGGACAGGTTGACAGGCTGACAGGCTGGCGGCGCTTCACTTGGGGGTTCCCCACACCACTGGCAGCACCAAGTTCCATTGAAGGTTTCCACAGCGGATGCTGGTCGGACAGCACAACCAATGACTCCCTACTGATGCGTGCGCTAGTACTTCGCCGCACAGCCTGACGGGGCCTGGATCTACATCAGAAATGATGGAAATGTAGTTAGTTCTATTCACTAGCCCATCCACTATCTTGAAGAACGTTCAGAATTTTAACTAACTACCATCATATATTATATACTTATTTCAAGTCTTACCCTCTAACTCTACCTACCTACCTACTCTAACCTTAGGGCTTAAGACTCGGATAAAAAATTCGTATTCCTACCTTATATACCCTATATAACTAAAAGATATATCTTAAACGCCACAAGTACAAAAATAACAAAGCTATACGAAAAAAAAAGCTAACCCGATATAAATTAATTCTCACTATAAATTTCTCAGGCATTTCCTCAATTGTTACTATATAGCAATACTGGTAGAAGGCTACAAATAAAAAGGGGAGCCTTATCCGGCCCCCAAGGAGGCCTGATCCGTGTCGTAAGCACGTAAGCGCAGGCGCGCTTGTTTCGTTCCCGTTACAAGCTACAGCCCAGAGTTGCGAATTAACAGGGCAGGATCCGATCATACCTAGAAAACCAAATCCTCATCTATTAACCTGTACGAGTATCTACACTTCAATCTTATATTATGAACAACAACAAAACCCCGCCTACAAAAAGTGTCGGAACGAGAAGTTGTGCCCCAACGACTTTCAAAATGCGCATGCTCAACACTCTCCATTCAAATATTAAAACAAAAAAACTCGCAAACAGAGGTATCAAGGTACCGTCGCTCTGTAGTGTAACAAAACACCCCAGACATGCCATCCACATGTCAACCAACTCCAAGAAATGCATTTGTGTTATACATTCGACAATCCCGTAAAGACCCCGATTACCTTGGTCCCGTAAGACTCCTAAAAGATGCAATATCCCTGGCATATACCCACGACTAGTCTGTCCCCCTCCTGAGCAAAACTCACACGTTCTCGAGTCCATCGCTTTACTACCAAAACTCCCATTATATCCCGCGTCATTCCCATCATCCATTCATTCGTCTCAGACGCAAGTCCATTCTGCAAAAACGCACCATCTGGCACTTCGATCTGCGAGTACCAGACCCCTCCAGACCCCTCTTTCTCCTACTTTAATAATTGTCTCCCACGTACCACCATCACCCTTTTCCACCGCCAAACTTGTACTCTGAATTTTATCATCTTTTCTCATTAGTCGAAGCACCTTGCCTCCCGGAGACTGAATGGCCAATTTAGCTGGTTTCTTCGAGCCATACGCACTTGTACTTGGATTCGATCCAGATGCAGACGAATTACTGATGGACATTGCCGAACTGGGTCGGATGAAAGGAACTGGCGATACATTGCCCGGATTTGGTGATGATATCGCTGTGGATGATGGATGCTGACGAACTGCGAAGACGAACGTATTGTTCAATGCAAGACGCTCACACTGAGGCTGTGCAACATATAGATCGTGACGCTGAGCATGAGGAGTCGGATGTCGAGTGAGAAATCCGTACGGTGGGTTGTCTCCAGAATGAATGATGGGCAGGGCGAACGCCAAAGGATGGGGAATGTCCTTGATTGAATGCATGAGACCTCGTTTTCCAGCATAAACTCGAAGAATGCCTTGACCTTCATCACCAGGCAGAAGGGCTTTGACAGTATACCGTTTCTCCCCTCCGATCCACTCCGCTTGTGCAAGTGCACGCTTCTTTACTGTCTCTCCGCTCTCGAAAAAGTCGCCGTCAGCATCCTTCTCAAATGCCCGAGCCTCAACCTCTGCCACACATTCAATATCCGCTGGCACCGTGAATTTGATATGAACAAGTTCAAGATCTTCAACACGGACTAGACTTGTATCGTAATCGACCATTTGAAGTGCATTCTTGAAGTACGGAGGGCAGGCACAAGGGAGAGCAAGTAGGACTTCGTGGGCAATAGGTGGACAGAGATGTTGCTGTTGATGTAGTTCTGGGACATGAGTCCAGCAGATCTCAGTTGGTCGAGCTAAGAACCACCAACTTTCCGCTTGCTGACTACCAGTACTTGAATATAGCGCGCGGCGAGGATTCGAAGGAGAAGCAAGAGAGCAATCCATGAATCTCCATTCGCCATCAACAGCTACCGCATTCCACCAATGGTTAGGGCGAGGCATGATCGTCAGTTCCGGAACTTCTCCTGGTGTTTTCAAATATCCACGGACAACTTCTGCTTGGATTCCCACGGCGGCACACATCTCCAGCACTAGAACGGCCACTTCCTCAGAACCTCCGCGTTTCGTTGAGATAACCTTTCTCGATTCGACAGCACTATCGTATTCGTCTTCCCAAATGATCTTCTCGCTAACCCAGGTAAAGATTGCGCGAAGCCGCTGAACATCACTTCGATATGGTCGACAAACAAACCCAGTGGCGAGGCTGACTGGGTTTGTCATGGGTGGCAGACTGTTGATAAATCTCGCATTTTTATCCACGAGGGAAAGGTTGACAGCTTGGAAGTCAGTGGGTTCAGCAACTGGGTTACCATCGACTCCTTCGTCTCCATCACAGCCTTCAAGCAGCTCTTCTACAGGACTGATAGCTGGATGATCCATCATCTGGCAACGTTCCTTTCTTTCAACATGCTCTATCTGGCTAAGAGAATTCGAACGGTTCACGTCGCGTCGTACTTGGACCCAATCAATACCACCTCCACCCGATCCATTACCGCTTCCAAGTCCCATATCGTTCGCTGCACTGCTTGAGTGTTGGCTATTTCCGTAACCACCCGCTATAGAAGTAACACCGTTTGGCATTCTATTCCTTGATGATGTGCCTGGTCTCGACGAGTCTCCGACGGCTATACTGCTCCGTGCACTGGCTGCTCCGGTTTTGGCCGATTCAATCATCTTTTTGAAGAATCCACTCTTTTTTGGTCTAGGAGCTGTGAGACCGCCAAGAACATTGGGCGTGTCGTTTGTGGCTCCTTGCCAGCCTACTTGTGACTGTGGTCTTGCAGGGCCAGAAGCGTGACTGTTGTGGTATGATACTCCAGTAAACGGCGATTCTGGTCTGTTCACAGATACCTGGCTTGCACTAAAGTCATCCTTTCGGGAACCAAAAGCACTTCGCGAGCGTCCGTACAACGCCTCCTTCTTCCTCGCGTAACTCCCAGCACTTGTTGATGAAAACCCACTGGCGGACGGGCCACTCATTATACTCCGGTCCGTCATTTGAGTACTAGAGCTTGTGTTGGTGGAGCGTGATGCAGATGAAGAGTCTGTAGAGTTTGTTTTAGTCGTGAACGTTCGACCCAGCATAGACTTTCCAACCTCGTAGGCCGATTTACGATGGTGCAATTTTGGTCTATCAGCAGCTGCAGATGGTGGTCTGTCATACCCGTTCATTTTCGGCGGAACCACAGGCGGGCTATCATCCCTTGGAAGCTGAGAACTCCTGGCATGCATTTTACTTAATCTGTTTTCCATTCTGCGGACATAGTTGCTCAATTGAGGAGGGGGCTGATCTGCTACAGAACTACCACGTTCGCGTTGCCTTACATGTTTAAAGCGTGGATCTTCGTCTTCATATCGTCCAATACCCATGGATGTGAGGGGCCTCGCAACTTTGTTTCTTTCTGTTATATATGTCTGGTCGAAGGCTTCTGGTGACCATGGATCCAAAGGCTGCTCGGGGGGTTCAGTATGCCGGGATGCACCCATATCGTATAAAGATGACATGACATCATCCATCGCAGAACGAAGGGGGGACGGCGTCAATCCCGTACCCCCAGGAGATGGTGGGCATGGTGAGGCTGCATGAGGAGTGTGAAGGGTGGCTGGATGTTGCTGATGTGTATTTGCAGACCCATGTGGGGTAAAGGTGGTTCTATGAGGTGGGGGTGGTGGAGGGGGTGACGAGCCCAGTTCATTTTCGGGCGGTGAAGGTTCTCGAGAGTAGGCCTTGTATTGAAAAGACGGTACGGGGGATGGAGCGCGAGAGCCGTAGCTATTATAGGTTTGTGGCGGTGCGGGAGACGGAGCTTTAGATGTTCTTGAATTATAGCTGCCGTAGCTATTGTATTGTTGTGGTGGTGGTGCGGGAGAGTGTGTCCTCGACCCGTAACTATTGTGTTGGATTGGAGTCGCTGGAGAAGGCACTCTGGATCCATAACTGTGATGATATGCATGACGATGCGACGGCGGCACTGGCGACACCGCTCGAGGGTTATAGGTGCGTGTTGTTGGTGTTGACTGCGTTCGCGTATGTGGAGAGGAGGCCTGCACAACACTCTGTTTCTTGCGGAGCTCTGCTCGCTTTGCCAGCGCTGGATCTGGCGCCGCGTAGGCGGTGAATGGCTTTCGAAAAGCTTTGCTCTTTGATTTCTGTGGTGGGGGATTGAAGGGGTTGGGACTTGGTGATCGGTCTGGCATTGGGCTCGAAGAGCGACTCGTGGGTCGAAAGCTTTCATCTAGCACTTCGACGAAATTTGAAGGAAACAGGCCCATCATCCGCTTGTCCCGCCGCAACCTGCCCATCCACCACGATCCGTCGCCCGCGTTCAGACATTCTATCAGGTCTCCTTCGACAAATCCCAAGTCGCGTTTCGACTGCGCAAATGTTAGTACCTCGGCGTGTGGGTGTGGGTGTGGGTGCGTTGCGCGAGGGCAACGAGATTCCTCAGGACCTTACCTCTCCACCAAAGGAATACACGGCGCGACACCAGCACGGAAATCGTTGAGGGATTGCCATGATGATACTAGCAGGAGATCAAAGGCATACTGCAGTTCGAATGGGCGTGTAGAAGTATACAAGTATGGCTCTGCAATGGAGGGCGGTCGGGGTTGGGGCAAAATAATACCAATGCGGGCGAGGCGCACTCATCGACAACCAGGTGTTGCAGGCTGAGTGGAGGTCAGGCACCGTGAGCATTGAGCCGTGGATCAACAAACGACCGGGGGTCCGCCGCTCTGCCACCGCTCCATAGCAACCTTGAGCAGCGGTTGCTACGAAGTATGAGGCCGCTTAATCCCCGGATCGCCAAGGATAATGCGCAGCGCAGACCGAGGCGATTGGGATTGCGGCTGCCAACAAGAGCAGGAGGCAAGTCTACGCTGCAGGGCCCCAAACCAGACCTTCTACACCGTACACCTCTTCTCTCAGGTCAATTTTGCATTGTCAAAAGTACCCTTCGCAACATCTTCCCACAGCTTCATTTCTTTCCAACAACATCTTTTTTCTGGAATCCATTGCAGAAGCGTCGGCGCAAACATCTCTACCGTATCGCGAGATTTGTTTACTTTGCGCTGTACCGGTCCGTGCAGCTGGTTGTTGATGACGGTCGCAGGTTGCCATCAAGACTACCTGTGGAAGGAAGAAATCTAAAACACTCTTAGCCCCTTCACCAGATTCGAGGTCTTAATCTCCAGCTCACCCTCTCTCTTTCTCGCACTGGCACGCTCATCTCCAACTTGCACCTTCTTTGCGACTCTTTCTCTTGCTCTCCCGTATCCGTACCGAATCCAGCAGCGAAAATGGCCTCAGAAGGTGCCGCCAACCAGTACCAGGTGCTCGAGGAATTGGGTAGTGGAAGTTTTGGGGTGGTGTACAAAGCCATTGACAAGAGCTCTGGCGATGTCGTTGCAATCAAACACGTAGGTCTTCCTTCACCAAAACGCCGGCGAGTGCCTTCGTAGGCCGCAAATTGACACAGCAACCACAGATTGATCTAGAATCGAGCGAAGACGACATCCAAGAAATTCAGCAAGAAATCTCGGTTCTGAGCACTTGCGCCAGTCCCTACGTCACCCAGTACAGAGCCAGCTTTCTCCGGGGGCACAAGCTCTGGATTGTGATGGAGTACCTGGGGGGAGGATCCTGTTTAGACCTGGTATGGGGTTTCACTGCACGACCCGCTTCACGAACTGACCTTTTGCAGCTCAAACCAGGATCATTTAACGAAGCCCACATAGCGATCATCTGTCGCGAACTACTGCTCGGACTCGAGTACTTGCACCAGGAGGGGAAGATCCATCGTGATATCAAGGCTGCCAATGTCTTACTATCTGACAAAGGCAAGGTCAAGTTAGCAGATTTCGGTGTCGCAGCCCAACTCACCAACATCAAGTCGCAACGAAACACCTTTGTCGGCACCCCTTTTTGGATGGCACCAGAAGTTATCCAGCAGGCTGGTTATGACTTCAAGGCAGATATATGGTCGCTCGGTATCACGGCTATCGAATTGATCAATGGCGAACCCCCGAATGCCAATGTTCATCCCATGAAGGTGCTATTCCTCATTCCCAAGGCACCTGCTCCTCGACTAGAGGGCAACCAGTACAGCAAAGAGTTTAAAGACTTTGTCGCACAGTGCCTAGTCAAGGATTGCGATAGACGACCCAGCGCAAAGGAACTCCTGCGACACAAATTTATTCGCTCAGCTGGAAAAGTCGAGGCTTTGCAAGAGTTAGTTGAGAGAAAACAAGAATGGGATGGTTGTCGGACCCGACCTTCTCACCCACGATTCTACGAAGAGACATTGTATGTATTTAGTCCCGTGGCTGGAAAGACTCCATCTAACATGCACAGAAATAATATGAAACCAAAATCGGAGCCTGATGAATGGGTGTTTGATACCGTCAAGGCACCTCCCTCTGTTGCACACCGAAAAAGTACGACAAAGAGAAGGAAGCTATCGGTCATCCATGCCAATGGTCAAGGTGTATCCTCGGGTGTGGAGGAATCATTAAAACGACTTGATCTTAAGGACACTCCCCTGGAATATTCGTCTCCCCAGTCTGTTACCATTAAAAAAGGAACCGTTCGCAGACAGCCGTCTATAGTGCAACTCACAACCCCCACCAAACATCGTCAAGTAAGCTCACAAAAGAAGCCACTTCAACCTGACTTGAGTTTTGGAAATACTGGTTCCACTGTTCGGGTATTTCGTCGGGTATCCGATAACTCTATAACAACACTAGTTGATTCTGATGCGTCAGTTACGGGTTCTACGCGAGACGAAAATCGGCCTCCAATGACAGCGAACGTTACAAAAGAAGCTGTTCTCGGTCGACGAGCATTTAACAAAGTAATGGATCCCACATTCCAAGAACTACATGCACAGACTGGCAATCAAGAAAAACGGGAAGCGATATCTAAACTCGCCGACGCCTGGACTGCTCTTGACGCAATCGACCCCGAGGGAGAATATCAACTTCTGAAAGCTTTGATTGAGAAAGCTCAACACGACCCGAAGCTCGCCTCTCTATTACCAACTTCCCGCAAAGTTTCTAATCGTGACCCAACTCCCCAAGCTACTCCACCATCAACGCCTCAGAGGTCCGGAGCAAAATTGGTCATGGCCCAAAGTAATCCACACTTGAAGAGCCATCGATTGAGACGATCGAGCGTGATGCCAGAATCGGACCACAGAGAGAAACTCGCCCATCTACCAGGTCAAATCGTTCCAGGTATGGAGCACACCAAGCAGCTCAGTGATGTTCTCTATGGTCGATGGGCTGGTGCCTTAAGAAATCGATGGCCAGCAGTGTAATTACCAACTTCTACTGTTCAGTACACATTATTGCATAGCATCATCATAGGAGTTGTCGAAGATACAAAAGTAGGTTGAATTGTATTTCCTAATTGCATTTTGAAAAAAACAAAAAAAAAGAGAAGAGGAAATCGCCCAGGTAGAATTTGTGGAGCGACTCCAGCGTCAATATTAGTGTGTCTTTTTGTTGATGGTATTGTAAAGCGTAAGGGAACAAGCAGATCTCCAAGGGAGCAGTTTGGGAAGGGAAGGGTGTTTATTGGCGTTTGAATGGTACCAGTCTGAGGATTGGATTGTATTGGATTGGACTGGACTGGACTGGGAGTTTCTTTTTTTCACGATTCATGAATATGTTGTTTTCGTATATTGATGAGGGACTTTTTGGTTTCAAATTCTCTCTCTCTTTATTGAGAGAGAGGGGAGGGGACGGATGATGGGGATGACGGATTGGGGATGACTGATGGGGAATGGGGGATGGGCGGTGGGGATTGGGATGGGCAATGGGGATGGGGGAACTGTGTGTTTACTTGCGAGAAACAGGGAGTGTAGGATTGGAATTTGGGATGTCTTTTTTTTTCTTGGTACATTTTTTCTTCTTCTTCTTCTTTTCTGGTGTCAAAGACTTTTGTGGTTTGAATGGATCAGATGTTTGAGCTTATGTGTGTGTGTGAGAGAGAGGGTAGAGGGGAGGCAATTACTGGTGGTTACTAGTTGGTTCCATTATACGGATGCCAGATGGTAGCTAGTGTAGTGTAGTGCTGATTGGTTGGTTCTTTGGAATATATTTTTTACCATATTTGTGCTTGTTTGTGGTGTCGGTTTGTTGAGTTGGTGTTCAGGGTGTAGGGTTGTTTGTTTGTTTGTTTGTTTTGTTTTGTTTTGTTTTGTGTTTTGGCTAGGGGATGGAAGGATGCGAGGATGCGAGGATGGGGATGCGAGGATGGAGAAGGGTAGGGGGGTTGAGTGTGGGTGCGATGGAGTGATGGTAAAGTAATGATAATAGTTACGTCTTTCTTTACGCTACGCTACTGTATGGGATCATTTAGGTCAGAGTATATAGTATATAGCCCGAGTAAGTAAGTAAGTCAGTAAGTGAAACAAGTAAGTATGATAAAGATCTTGAAAGAAGTAAGTTACTCTTTAGTAACTACATATGACCTGACCTATAGCACATCGCTACCTAGCTACTATACTATACTATGTAAAAACTTCAGATATAAAACAAATATTTGGGAAGAATGAAGGTATGATATTTTTATATTACCTAGTGCTATATTGGACGAGTGATTTGTTGGCTTGGATTATAACCCCCTTCTCAAACATGTATTTAGTACAGCTTTACTCATCTGTTGGAGGGAAACCCCCAGCCGTGCTACTATAGTCTCAGACTCACACAGCACGTTAAAAGGAATAATAATAATAATAATAATGTTGGCTTGGATTTGTGGATTTATGGATTTGTGGGGTTTCTTGTGGAATGGTTGTTGAATGGTTGGATTTGTTGGATTTGTTGGATTTGGAGGGTAGACTGGGTAGGTAGGTAGGTTGTAGGAAGTTGGGGGGTTGGTGGTGGTGGTGGTGTTAGTGTTAGTTTTAATGAGGAGGTTGGAGATAGGAAGGGTCAGAGGGGTTAGTGTTGTGAGATGTAGGATATGAGAGAGGGAAGGGGAAAGGGAAATGGGTTTAGGAAGAGAGATTATTAGGAAGAGATAGAGTGCTAGGTAATTGTAATTATAACTGTTATTATTTTACTGACTAGTGGGTTATAATATCCAACGTTCGGCAACTGGAATTCCATTCCATTCTAGAGAAGGGGGGAAGAGGGGGTATGGAATATTCTATTCTATTTAGAGTTACTAATTCTAGAACTATCCCATTCTATACCCCCTATTACACTAGACTTCCATAGAACCAAGTTATCTAACCCGGAAAAATATCTACCTAGTCTAATTAACTAATAGAAAGGCTAGATTCTACCGGGTTTATAGTATACGTATTAGGAATATTACTAGTATTAATACTTCGAATAACTATCCTAATATAGTTAGTTTATATGCAATATCTAAAGAGATTTTGAAGAACTAGGTATATATCGAATAAAGTAAGGTAATTATAATAGACAAAGAGAGAATCTAGGGATAGGGGAATTATATTATAATATAAGATCGGGTAATTTGTACTTTAATCCCCTCGGTATAGATTACGCCTTCTAATTAGCTAAAAACTACTCTAGAATTCTATAATTCTATAGAATTCTAGAGCCTATTTAATAAATATTCTATTATATATATAAGGTACTCTAGAATATTCCTTTTCGAATAGAATTTTAGAATTCTATAGATTCGAGTTCTATTTACCGATTAGTAATAATATATCTTGTTCTCCTTTTTCGAGTTAAGAGTAGAGTTAATATAACTTTTTACTTATATAGTTTTTTCTTTAATTTATATACTTTTCGGTATATGTGAGGGTTGGAACCCATGATGGAGGCTCGGGCCATGCCCTCGCTAAGCACTGACCAAAGTCCCCGCTCAGCATTGGCCATTGCTCCACTGCTAAATTGGTTTCTCCTTTTCTACACTTTTCTACTCTATTCTTTTGACGTTACGTATTTGTCAAACAGTTTCTTGGAAGACTCCAGAAACTCTTCCTCTCTCTATATATAGAGGAAGAGATTGCATGTATGTAGTCTTCACGCACTTCTTAATTGAACATTCGAAACCTCACCTTTGAGTTGTTCAAGGTCTGGCCTCTCACAGTATAGCTTGATTCTTTACCGCGGTATAGTTAGTTATATTTAGCTTCTAGGTTATTATATTAGAGAACTTTTTTAGGGGTTCCTTTTAGGTATTTATAAAAGCTTCTACTATATTTCTAAGTTGAAATAATAATAACGTGGTTTATCAGCGAGTCGATCATATCACCGAGTCGATCACTTTTCCTTGGCACTACCTCCTCAAACTTCAACACACGTTTTCTTCAACTATTTACCATGGAAATTCAAACTCAAGAAGCGCGAATTACTCTAGCTATCGAGGCTATTCGGTCGTCCAAAAAACTAAGCAAACGCTCTGCGGCAAAGATCTACAATGTACCATATACGACTCTTTCCGACAGAATGGCTGGCCGAACCTACCGCCCAGATTCTCAAGCCAATTGTCATAAGTTGACTGAGTTAGAAGAGGAAGTGATTATTCGGTATATACTGGATATGGATTCCAGAGGATTTGCGCCCCGGCTCGCTGGTGTAGAAGATATGGCTAATTTTATCCTTGAATCGCGGGGGGGAAGACGCGTCGGCAAGCTCTGGGCCCATCGATTCGTACAACGACAACCAGACCTTAAGACGCGTTTTAATCGCGTTTACGACTTCCAGAGGGCCTTATGCGAAGATCCTGACGTGCTAGGCGCATGGTTCCGGCTAGTAGAGAATATGAGGGCGAAATATGGGGTTACAGACTCCGACTTCTACAACTTCGACGAGACAGGCTTTATGATGGGTGTTATTTGTCCTAGAATGGTTGTTACTCGTGCAGACCGACGTGGTAGAGGCAAGGCAGTTCAGCCAGGCAATCGGGAATGGGCTACAGCAATTGCCTGTATTAATGGGGAGGGCTGGAGTATTCCTCCATTCTTGGTAGTTCAGGGCAAGAACCATCTCTCCAACTGGTATACCGACGGCGGCCTCCCACCTAACTGGGTTATTAAACCGACAAGCAATGGTTGGACAAATAATGAAACAGGCCTGGAATGGTTAAAGCACTTTGATAAACACACTACAGCTCGTGCAAAGGGTCTGTATCGAATACTAGTTTTGGATGGGCACGAGAGTCATGAATCGGCTGAGTTCCAAGACTACTGTACGAAACACAACATTATTACTCTTGGACTACCTCCTCATTCATCCCATCTAACCCAGCCACTTGATGTTGGGTGCTATAGTGTGTTAAAACGAGCGTATGGTCGGCAGATTGAGACGTTTATCAAGGCCCATATCAACCATATTACAAAGGTTGAGTTCTTTCTAGCCTTTACAGCAGCATACAAGGAAACAATGACAGTCCTAAACTGTCAGTCTGGATTCCGCGGAGCTGGCCTAGTACCATTTAACCCGCAAGCAGTGCTTTCAAAGCTTGACGTAAGGTTACGGACTCCAACTCCCCCTCGGACGTGTAGTGCCAACTCCCTCCCCTGGGTGTCCCAGACCCCTTCCAACCCAACTGAAGCCCTTTCACAATCAACTCTTGTACGAAATCGTATAGCCTGTCATCAAGGAAGCTCGCCAACTCCACTTTTTCAAACAGTTGCTGCGTTAGCAAAGGGTACAGAGCGAATGGCACATGAGATGACCCTTTTGTCTGCTGAGGTCCGTACCCTTCGCGCTGCAAATGAAGCCCTAAGTAAACGCCGTAGGGCTAAAAAGACTCGTGTCCGCCAAGGAGGGGCACTTATAGTAGAGGATGTACAGGATATGTTAGCTCAGGAGGATGTAGATGAGCAAGTACGACGCGACATGCGTGAGGCGGGGGTTGGTTATAAGGAGGGGCAACCTTCTAGGCGGCGCTGTAGAACTTGTGGAAAAGCTGGTCATAACGCGCGAACTTGTCAAGAAGTTATAGATATATCTAGTTCGTCAGATATAGAGAGCGATAATTAATTTAATATATTGTGGTTGATTTATTTAGGTGTAAAGTTCTGTGCCAAGAAAAAGTGATCGACTCGGTGATATGATCGACTCGCTGATAAACCACGTTAGCCTTTTTAGAAAACTTCAATTACCTTGTTCTCTACTAAAGGTATACTACGAAAGTTATATTTATAAGGCTATGCCGAGGACGGAGTATTATAGAATAAGCCTAAATTCTAACGTTATGTAGTACTTACTTTCATCATAGATTTGCTTCCGCTATTATTTTCGCTTCCGCTACTATATCCGCTTCCGCTTACCTTGACCACCTATAAGTAAATAGACAGGTGCACTAATTACTGGGTAGCGGTAGTATATACCTTTCGTTTTCGGTTTAATTCATACTCTGATTGACGCATTCAACTGCTTCTGGAGTTGGGAAACTTGTAGCGAAATGTGCGAATGAAGATTAGGGTTCTTGAAGGAAAGTGATACTTGGCTACGTCGACTTTTGAGGTTTACGGTTTGGATGTACCCTAGATTAGGGGTCATAAGGTTGTCACGCTTGGGTATACAGGGGTCTGGGGTTAATGTTGAGTGCGAGGCAAATACGAAGTGCTTTCCACCATTCGCAAAAGTACTTGGTAGTACAGTAGGACGTTTCGCCATAACGGGACTTGGAGAAATAAGCATATTGCTTACGAGTATGAAGTAAAAACCTTCGTCAACTACCCTGTAATGCTCTTGGAGATATCCTTGAATCTCGTTAATTCTGAGAAGGAACTATATGTTTAACTTCATACCTAGTCATGTAAATATCTTACA